TGAAAAAGGATTTTTAAAGTTACTGTATCGTGTGCCCATTTTAGATCTACAAACAATAGGTGGGTAGATAGATTTCTTGCCTTCCGTTTTTTGATTACCTGTTGGAGAACGAATATACCATCAGTGCACGATCATCCTGGATAATATCCATTTTGTTCTTTTATGTCTTCGTATTCTAATTCTATTCTTTCTTTTATTATTCGACCGTACAACCTCCCCACTGAGCTGGTAACAGTTATTCCCCTATATTTAGAGCATTTGCGTTTATCCCCTTGCTTGAATATTGAGTTGATGTATCCAACGTTCCAATTATCAGGGATATTTTATCCTTTTCAACATTTGTTAAAGAGTTAAACCAACATTTCATGTAATATTTTTGGTCCATACTTTACCAACTCAATTTTATATCTTTTGAGGGCATCGCTTAACTCTCCGGTTATTATCTCAATTATTTGTGTACGTTCGTATATTTCTTTTATTTTAATCTCTTATAATTTACATCAATTTTCTGTCAGTAAGAACTCATAATGTTTCCACTGTTTCAGATCTATTAACTGTAAGTTAGATTTTTCCTTTCCTTCCCTCCGGAGAGACTTTATCACCAATGACCAGAGGACTGTAAGAACTCATCGCTTATCTCTAGATCTCTTCTTCTTTCCCGAATCCCGTCTGCGTCACTTCTTTGTCTAACCTACCTACTCTTTGTCACTTCTTCTACCTGTGTCACCTACCTGTTGTCATTTCTCCACCTAAGAAGTACAAGAAGTGATCGACAATGACCAGAAGAGGTAGTTAAAGCCAGCAACCAGAGGACCGTAAGAACTCATCGCTTATCTCTAGATCTCTTCTTCTTTCCCACCCGCCTGTCACTTCTTTGTCTAACCTACCTACGTCACTTCTTTGTCTAACCTACCTGTTGTCACTTCTTCTACCTGTGTCACTTCTTTGTTCCACCTGTCACTTCTTTGTCCCACTCTACATCTCCTCTTCTTTCACGAAAGTTGTACAGGGTGATCTCGTTTAAACTTTGTACGGACTTGTTGCTTAGCCCTAACTACACAGCCCAGCCTAGCCTAGCCAGATTAGTCTAATTTGTACTCATTAAGTTTAAATTAAAAAAAAAATAACTTTTGGTATCATTAGCTAGTATTTTTTATTTATTTTGTCGTCCAAGACGTGTTGGAGAAACTTTTGTATAAAGAGGAATAAGATTTATGTTATTTGTCAGTCAGCAAGATGTGTCTTGAGGTGCACATGCTAAAGCTAGATGATTTTTATTCAAGGCTCTCAACTTTTACAAATTGGAAGGGGAAGAAATCTAAAATAGAGTTAGCTGCCTGTGGATTCTACTTTCTCCAAGTGGAAGATATTAGTAAAATGTTTCAAGTGTGGTGTAGAGATTTACAAATGGGAATCAAATGATAATGTAATTGAAGATCACAAAAAATTTAGTCCTGAATGTGCCTTTGTAGAAAGAGTTTATCCTATTTTTCTGAGAATCAACAAAGAAAGTGTGAGTGAGAAAAATAAATATGCCTGTTCCTGTGAAACATAAATGTCCAAAGTGTGGTGGTGACATATCACCATACCTATTCAATTCTGCACATCTTGGATCCCACATCTCATTTTTACTTTTCACTACTTCTCTTTTTACATCTCGATTTAATTTTTTATATGTCTTGTAATCTTTCTCCTTTCTCGTTGACATCCATTTCTGATACGCAGTTTTCTTCTTGTTTACTAACGTTTGCATCTCTCCGACCACCATTCTTGATTTATTGTTTAATGTTTATCTTTATAACTCAAAGCTTCAATTGCAGCCTCATGAATGCATTTTTAAGTTGCTGCTATCCTTTCGCTAATATATTTTCTCGATCCACATTTTATAATTTTGTGGCTAGTAATTTGTATGTAAATTTCGCTGAATCTTCTTTGAAGCTTTTAAGGTTATATTTAGGGAATGTTACTTCTAGTCTTTTTTCTATATTCTGTACGTGAGTGTTATTGCACGATCTTAGCATTGACCTTAGAGTTCGTATGACATCTTGCTACATCTTTCCTGTCCTGCTGTATGGAGTGGAAACGTGGACTCTAACTGAGGCTATGCTTAAACGCTTGACAGCCTTTAAGATGTGGTATACAGACGACTACTGAAAATAAGCTGGGTCGACAGAGTTAGAAAGGAGGAGGTCCTTAGACGGCTGAGCCAAACAACACAACTGATCAATATAATAAAGAAACGCAAGCTGGAATACTTCGGTCACATTATGAGACACCCTGATATGATCTTTTACATCTAATTATTCAGGGAAAGATCCAAGGTAATCGTGGTCCTGATAGACTCAGAACATCATGGCTGAAAAATCTAAGGCAATGGTATGCAAAATCAACTACATCGTTATTTAGAGCTGCTGTCAATAAGTCACGATAGCGAATATGGTAGCCAACATGATATTCAACGATCGATAACGGTCATGGAACTAGAAGAAGAAGAGTGTTATTGTTTTTGCGATAGTTAACTATCAAGTTGGCCATAAGTAAAGGATGATCGGATCCACATTCTGATCCAAGGTATACCCTTACGTCAGTTGTTTTATTTGTTGTCGATTATCGAGCGCAGAAGGTTGTATCCATGTAAATCCTGTAGGTTGTATCCATGTACATTTTTAGGATGTCTCTATGTTGAAGCTAATGAGTATGCGACCCATATTATCGTCAATAAATGCTCCTAACACTAATATAGCTCCATTACCCAGAGACTTTGTCTAAACAAGCTTTGATGTGGCATTTTTGTTTACAAATCTTCCACTTTTCAGTGTTATAACTTCCCTTTACAACATTTAGAATCAAATTCAACCCCAAAGTCCAGTATCGTGGAACACATTGTGCTAATTAATAAAATAGACCTTCGACTCCAATTATTAAATTTTTAATGACAAACTGTATCGTAATACTATTGGAACTCCTATGGGATCTAGGATTGCCCTCATTCTAGTCAATTTTATACTAGAGGATCTTGTTAATGAAAGTATCAAGAAGTAAGATTTTCAAGTTCCCTTTGTGAAACGGTATGTCGACGATCGGATTATAGCAATTCCACCGGACAAGGCGTTGAGCATCTTATCAGTTTTTAACTGCTTTGATTCTCACCTACAATTCAGATGTGAATTTTAGTTAAGAACAGCAACGGGTGTTTAGATATGCAAGTTAGTCGTACACCTGACAACATATCAGTCACTACCTGATACAGAAAAGAAATGAATAGGAACAGTTTCTTAAATTACCATTCGCTCCACTCAATCAGATACAAACTTTACCTCGTACAATCCTCAGCTTAGTGTATACACACTGACACACCCTCTATACAAAGACGAATGCCTTAATCTACTAAAGTACATTCTCATTGATAACTCCTACCTCGTATACATCATACGGTATAGCCTCTACCAATTTCAATTCAATTTCAGCTCTAGATCAACACTATCTTGATACAGATCACAAAATTAATTTTGAAAACTCCAGAACCATCATAGCCCTCATCCGCTTCTATAAACGAAGAATTATCTGAGAAGCAATAGAAATTGAAAAAAAAACCCAAATTGTCTTAATAAAAGAGATGATGGCGTACAGTTACCTTCGACATGGAGATCTCTCATAATTATCTCTCATTTAATATAGTCCGTTTCACCCGCAAATCAAAATTCTACTGTCAGAAATGTTCACGCAAACTCCTGCGTCAATTTTCGCTCCAATTTCCATGCTAACCTCCACGCCAATCTCCACCCAAACCATATTACCATCTATGGTATAAATAAATAGTCCTCTCTTCCCATTGGCATTACTGCATTGGTTAGCGATCAGTGAAGTAGTGTCTGGGGCTTGAGATACTGAGACCTCAGAAGTCCTGAAGAAGATACCAAAGAGAATGTCGATAGCTCAGCGCAAGGAAATGCACATTTTCTTGTCCAAGTCTCTCTCGCTTATTGTGTTTTTAATGAAAGTTTTCCAGTTATTAAGGCCATTAAATCTTTCCATTTCTCAACTGTTTTATTTAATAAATTACTTATTAATTTGGACTACATGTCTATACCATTTTATTTGTTGTTTGAAAAATATTTAATTGATTGTCTTTATGGCCATCGAGGAAGTTTTTGCAATCTTGTAGTGCGTAAGTACAATATAATCAAATGAGATATGATGACCTCCTCTAGACATTCGCTTCTTCAAGTTATGGCTGTTACCCTTTGGTTTTTTATGGAAATTGAGGTAGTGGTTACCTATTACTTGGGATACTTAGTAGTGTCCATACTTGTGCCACCAGATACACAAGTTCTGGGAACGGTAGTTTAGCCAGCTTGTTCAAGCTAGCTTTGCTTGGTAGTTCAGTACCTGTCTAGGTAAGAAGTTACGAATCATAGCTGGCAAAAAGATAAAAATGGAACTTTGGTTTTGGGATGTCTGGTGAGTATCTGCCCTCAGATACCTATACCTCAGATGCCCTACAAGATTGATCCTATATATATATATATATATATATATATATATATATATATATATATATATATATATAATATATATATATATATATATATATAACAAGCGAGTCTTCTACAGCTGGCGGCGCTTCTCGCATCCTAATTTCCAGCGTTTTCTGTCGAAGCAATCTTCAGTTGTTAGATCTCTGGCGGTCATTGCATCGTCGACATCGTCTCTCCAGGATCGTCTTGGTCTACCTCGTTTTCTTCTAGTTGGCGGAGTCCATTCTTCTATTTTTTTGGCCATCTATTTCCGGCATTCTCTGAAGGTGTCCATACCAGTTAATCTTTTGCTTAATTGATTGATAATTTATCCTTTAAAATTATTTTTAGTTTAGTTTGTTTAAAGATATTTGTCCTTCCAAAAAAGTGTGATTGTAGAAACATATGTTACTAAGTACCCTTAACGATAAGAGTTTTTAAAGTGGCATCCACTGATATAATAAATAATTTGTAAAATTATAAGTAAATCTACACTTGTTATTTTCATTTTCTTGAGTGAAGATAAAAGAATATGAAGTTTTTATTGATATGGGGCGTATGGTTGGCGACAGTGTAAGTAATAAATATTTTTAATACTCATACCAGATTTTTTGTGACATGTTACACCAATGGTGAATCTATTGGTGTTACCCAGAAGGTTTTCATAAAGTTGTAATAATAATATTTGTAAAAAAAAATAGTTATTTATATGAAATATACCCAAAATTTATTAAATAAATTTAAAAGTTTTAAAATACTTAATATTTTTGCTAAATTATAATAAAGAATTAATAGTTTTACAAACTGTTTGCTGTACATTCAAGGCAAATATTTATGTGGTTATCCTTACATACAAATCGAGTGCACTTATGACATCTCTAAGAATATTTTGTCTTCAAATTTCTGGCGAATTTTCAAAATCTACCACGTGTTAATCTGCAATTGTTTCAGTATCAACTCTTTTCTACAACTCTTTTCTACAACTCTTTTCCTCAAAGCTTGAGAAATCTGCACCGTTTGTAACCTTTTTTTTATTTTCACTCTTTGTTTAGATGACACCATATAATATAAGAGTTTATTGCGCCAATGTCAATCATATTATAAAAAACGTTGTCAATCATATTTGCTGAAACGTTGATTGATATGAACAATAAAATCTTGTTCCGCATGTAATATATCTTTATTGAACCTAAACCCAAGAAACACTAATTCTATATTAAATATAATACGGTTAAAAAACTCAAAACTACTATATAAATATATATATATATATATATATATATATATATATATATATATATATATATATATATGTATATATATATATATATATATATATATATATATATATATATATATACAGATTGAACGCAATAAATTCGGAACATAGGAAACATCATGTATTTCGGCTCATTTCTGCTGTAGGAGGTTGGCCAACAAAAGGTTGTCAAATAATTATATTATAAAAACCCAATACTTCTGCGGGCTGCTGGATTCTGAACTCATAAAAATTGAAAGCTACACATAAATCTACGATTTTATTATGCTGTCAAACCACTTATAGTCCAGGAAATGAAGCATTTCACCTCGTAATTTTTTCGTCCTGCGTGGATTAACTTGAAATTTTAACAGAAGGTAGGTAATAGCCTAAGGATCAAAATCTATATCGAACCAAAGTGCGCCAAAGCCTTGGGGTGGTTGCCACCCCATCCCGGGGGTGAAATTTTTTTTTACGTTTTAACTACAGGTTTCGATTAAAAAAGTGATTATAAACAAAAAATGTTCTATACATTTTTTTTTTGTAAAACTGATATTTTTCAAGTTATTCGCGATTGAAAGTAACAACTTTTAGACGAAAAAATCGACGTTTTTAATCGATTTTTCGCGAATAACTCGAAAATGGTGCATTTTATCAAAAAATTGTAGAGAACAAATTTGTAGCTTTTAAAAAGACAAATACAATTCATTTTTTAAAATGTTTTTGCGATATAATAGGAACCGAAATACGGCCTATCAATGTTCAGCGGTTTTCTTCAAATGCCAAATTTGAAAGATTCAAAGTCAAATATCGGGAAAATGATGCATTTTTGGAAGAAAACTCACGCAACCTTTTTTAAAGAGCATAAATAGATCTATCATAAAAAAAGACTCTAGCTCAAAAATTGAGTGAGTTATGATGAAAATAAGGCCAATACCTCATTTTTTTACGAAAAAATCGATGAAAACAACCCCTAACCACTCCCATAATTAAAATCGATCTTCACCCTTCTGCAATTCTCTTTGTACATGTATTGTTAATACGTCCAAGAAGTTTGACCCATTTAAAATGCTTAGTTTTAGAAAAAGTACAGCTTAAAGCGAGAAACGATTTACAATTTCATATTTTTTACCCTTCTTTTTTTAAATATCCCCGAAAATACTGAATATATGAAAGAAATAAAAATGTACTAAATTGTAGCTTTTTTAATGACTAAAATTTTCCTTTATTTAGATTTGTTGTACAATGAATATTTGGCGAGATATAGCCGTTTAAAGCATCGATTTACGATCAAGCACCATCTTTTTCGAGCCCTTTAAACTCACCCCATTTAAAAACCAAGGGTTCCAAAGAGATTTAATTCACAGATCCTTGTAGCTCTTAAAAACCTCTACAAAATCGTTTTTGAGGAAACACTCTATCGTTAAAAATGAAGGAAATACGTTAAAAAACCAATTAATTTTTTTTTTCGGAAAATTCCATTAGTATAGTACAGTACATTTTGGAGCATAATAATCTACAAAACCGGTATATTAGGTAGTGGGGCGTTATACATTCGAAATTTTAAGCGTTCTTATTTTGAAATCCCATACAACAGAATAAAACATTTGCTCATATGTTTATGGCTTGGCAATGAAAATATCAGAGCAACAGACTGGGGATGGTATTCCAAAGATGGTTTGTTATTACCCGTACGCATGAACAAACAACCTGCACCCGATGAACTTTTGAAAATTATTTTTTGCCAATGCAAAAAAGGATGCGGCGTTTCATGTGGGTGCAGAAAAGTTGGTTTATACTGTAACTTTACTTGTTCTGGGTGCTCAGGTGAAGGGTGCAATAATAGTCCACCAATAATTGAAGAAGATGAGGATGACATAGATCACGATGAAGATGTAATTGATGACGAATAAAATTAATATTATAATTGTTTTACCTATAAATGTAAATATTTTCAACTATTTATGTAAATGTATAAGAATATATGGTGCCTTTTTATGTTGATAAATTTTTTTGTATTTAATTCTACTTTTTTCAATTTATATCTATTAAATTAGTTTATAAACTGCACCCTTTACAACTGCAATGTTGTAAAGGGTGATTTTCAAAAGTTGAAAAGTTGCAAAATTTTGGCAAAAAATTGTTTTTACCTATAGCACTCATAACAATTGATTTTTAAGGGTTGAAAATGTATGAAATTGTATTTTAAAGTATAAAAAAATCACTATTTAACTAATCCAAACCAAATTTCACTCATCTTAAGATTTGTAATGTTATTTTACAATTTTTGAAAATTAGGGGTAGTTTTCACCCCTAAGAACAATCAGGGTTCATCGGCATGACATAAACTATAAAGCAGAGGGTGAGTTAAGCTTAATTCCAATTTTTTATGCAAATCGTTCCAAGGCGAAATCATTTTCTTCGCATTACTAATTTTTTTACATTAATCTCTAACAAGGGTCGCTTTTTAAGGGTTGAAATATGATGGAACTTTATTCAAAAGCACGAAACTATCATTATTTAATTAATTCAAACCAAATTTTACCCATATTCAGGTTTAATATGTTATTTTATAATTTTTGACAATTAGGGCTAGTTTTCACCCCTAAGAACAATCAGGGTTCGTCTACATGACATAAACTATAAAGCAGCGGGTGAATTGAGCTTAAATCCAAATTTTTATCCAAATCGATCCAAGGCGAAATCATTTTTTTAGAATTAGTAATTTTTTTACATTAATCTCTAACAAGGGTTGCTTTTTAAGGGTTGAAATATGATGGAACTCTATTCAAAAGTATAAAATAATCATTATTTAACTAATTCAAACCAAATCTTACCCATATTCAGGTTTAATATGTTATTTTATAATTTTTGACAATTAGGGGTAGTTTTCACTCCTAAAACCATTCAGCGCACTTCGGTTCGATATAGATTTTGATCCTTGGGCTATCACCTACCTTCTGTTAAAATTTCAACTCAATTCATGCAGGACGAAAAAATTGCGAGGTTTTAACTTTTTTCGAGCTTCATTTCCTGAACTATTAAAAACTTCCTTAGACAAGCAACATTGTTACACAAACAACATTGTTGCGAGACAGATAGTTGAACGATATTTTATACAATGTCTATACCCAGGTATGGATTTATTTTTGTCCTTATATTGGTCCACTATTTCAAATTTCTATCGATATTCTCAGTGTATGCACCAACCGAAGAAGCAGCAGAGGAAGAGAAGGAAGAATTCTATGACTCCCTAACCCGATTATACACGGAAGCCCCAAAACATGACATCAAAATAATATTAGGGGACTTAAACGCAAAAATAGGCAAAGAAGAACACATAAGGCCGGTAGCTGGAAATCAGAGTCTACATGACATTACCAATGACAATGGTTCAAGGCTGATTGAGTTTGCAGCAGGGTGCAACATGATTATCAAAAGCACCCAATTTGCCAGGAAAAACATATATAAGGTAACATGGAGATCAAATGATGGAAGAACGAGGAACCAAATTGATCACGTATTAATTGATGGGAGGCATTCCAGTAGTATAATAGACGTAAGAACTAGACGGGGACCAGATAGTGATACAGACCATTTCCTAGTAAAGGCCAAGCTCAGAACTAGAATCTCAACACAAACAACAGACAAACAGATGAAGATCGAAAGATGGAATGTGTCTAAATTGGAAGAAGAAGAGGGAAAGAGACAATACCAACTAGAATTGAGAAACAGATTCCAGGTGTTGGAAACGAAAGAAAATGAAAGAGAAAATATAGACCAGAAATGGCACTCCATTAAAACGATCATTACAGAAACAGCAGAGAAGTGTATAGGTCGGAAGAGAAAAGCAAAAAGAAAAAAATGGTTTGATGAAGAATGCGAGGATACCTTAAAAGAAGCAAACAAAAGAAGAATCGACTACCTAGCAAACCCGACGGATGAAAAACGTGAACAATATAATAGAGAGAGAGCCTTAGCCAGAAGAACAGTAAGGAGAAAAAAGAGACAACATTTACAACAACAAATTGAAAAAGTAGAACGTGAACACAGAAGCAAGCAAAATAAAAAATTCTACAAAGAAGTAAGACAACATAAGAAAGGTGCATATATAAGAACACCGAACTTTGTGAGAGACAAAAATGAGCAAATGATTACAGCTGAAAATAAAATAATCGAAAGATGGGCTGAATACTTTGAAAGTCTGCTAAATGTCCAGGTAGACGCGGATGGAAATAAAGCAAATTGTGAGTACCAAACGGCCGAGATAGAAGTACCCCCGCCAAGCCTGGAAGAAATTATCACGGCGATAGAAACCCTAAAAAATGACAAATCCCCGGGACTAGACAATATTGATGCAGAACTGATTAAAAAAGGAGGGCATGAACTTAGAACTAAAATACACCAATTAATGAAAGAAGCCTGGGAACAAGAAATAATGCCAAAAGAATGGAGTGGCTGTATTATCGTGCCAATACATAAAAAAGGCAGAAAGGATACATGTGGCAACTACAGGGGAATCTCACTAATCGGTACTACATATAAGATATTAGCTTCAGTTGTACTAAAACGATTACTGCCATATACAGAGGAAATTATTGGCGATTACCAATGCGGCTTTAGGCCTGGAAGATCAACAATCGACCAAATATTTACTATCAGACAAATGCTAGAAAAGTATTGGGAATATAATAAAGAAGTACACCAGATCTTCATAGATTTCAAACAAGCATATGATTCCATAGATCGCTTAAAACTGTGGAGTGCAATGATGGAGTTAGGCGTACCAAAGAAGCTGACCATGATTGCGCGAATGTGTGTCAACAATTCCTTTGCACAAATTAGAATAGGAGGCAAAAATTCAAAGGCTTTCGGCATAAGCACCGGGCTCAGACAGGGAGACCCGCTGTCTCCATTACTATTTAACCTAGCATTGGAATACGCAATGCGAAAAATCTATACCAGAGTCAAACCAGACATAACTGCCAGAGGAGCAAAGATTATTCTCGCATTTGCAGATGATGTAGATGCAGTAGCACAGACAACACTGGAAGTTAAGGATATAGTATCGAACTTTGAAGAAGCAACACTAAGCGTAGGCCTGAAAATAAACGAAGAAAAAACTAAATACATGGTCGTATCAAAAAAGGAACGACAGCGAATAAGACAAAACATTACCATAAACGATCATAATTTTGAGGTGGTCAAAGAATTCAAATACCTAGGAGCAACAATTACCAGTGAAAACACAGGAGAACGGGAGGTTGAAATACGAATACTGGCGGGGAATAAATCATTCTTTGCCATTCAACATCTAATGAGGTCAAAGCTTCTCTCAAGGCGTGCCAAAATCCAAATGTACAAAACCATAATACGACCAGCAGTGACATATGGAAGTGAAACATGGACATTGAGAAAGAAAGAAATCAATAAGCTATTAGTATGGGAACGCAAAATCCTGCGAATTATATATGGTCCTTGCAGGGACAGCGTGACAAATGAATGGAGGAGCAGATACAACAATGAAATAGAGACTCTCTTCGGGAAAGGAAACATCGTAAGATACATAAAAGCCAATAGATTAAGATGGGCAGGCCACGTGGTACGGAGTGATGACGACAGACTGATTAGCAATGTATTTTGGGAAAGACCAGATGGTAAAAGATCGACAGGAAGGCCTAGAAAAAGGTGGAAAGACGCTGTCAGGGAAGACCTGGAGAAGATGGAAGTAAGGCCATGGGAAATAATAGCACAGGATCGGAATCAATATATATATATATATATATATATATATATATATATATATACATTAAAAAAAATTATTATGCTCAACAACTTGATAATATAAATTTTATATTTTTAGGACCTCAGACGACTCGATCAACTCTCATCGTTTTCCAAAAAACTTTAAATTTGGCGTGGCCAATGCTGCTCCTCAAATCGAAGGTGGTGCTCTCGAAGATGGTAAATCCGAATCCATATGGGATACCTTTACCAGAGTTTACCCAGAGAGAATGGCTGACAGATCTTCTCCTGCTGTAGCATGCGACTCTTATCATAAATATAAAGAAGATGTAGCTCTGGTTAAAGCAATGGGCTTAGATCACTACCGCTTTTCGATTGCTTGGTCTAGAATACTTCCGACTGGGTTAATTGATCAAATTAACGAACCAGGTGTGCAATATTACAAGAATCTTCTAAATGAATTAAAAGCCAACAAAATAGAACCTCTCGTTACGATCAATCACTGGGATTTGCCTCAAGCTTTACATGAGAGTATGAACGGTTGGCTCAACGAAACGATTATAGATATTTTTGGCGACTATGCTAGGCTTTGCTATCAGTTGTTTGGTGACTCAGTTAAATTATGGACTACTATTAACGAACCAAAACAAGTGTGTCGTCCAGGGTATGGCACAGGAGTGTTCCCTCCAAATGTTAACTCAAACGGCGTGGGTGAATACATTTGTGTTAAAAATATTCTTCTAGCTCACGCTAGAGCTTATCACATATACGACAAAGAATTCAGAGAAAAACAACAAGGTATGCAATTTTTTATTTGCTTGGTTACTTCGGTATTAATAAGCAACGAATTTAATATTTTCCAATAAACGTTCTTTTTATTTTATTCTGTATCAAATTATGTCTAACCATTATGTTTCTAATTCTTAAAGACAATATCAAAAAACATGTTTTCGCCAAATTTTACCAATCAGAGCAAAGATTGTCATTTTGGCTAATCATAACAAATTTTTATCTTTGATTTTGTGTTGGTGTGTTTGAGTGTATCTTTCGACTGAAGGATAGGCTAGTTCTTAATCTCAAAGCAAAACCTATTTTCAATGAAACTCTACGTTTTATATTCTCACCTATTGCAATCAACGATATTCTAGATTTCATCAGCGAAATTCTCGATACTTTTAAATTGCTAGAAATAAATATAAAGACGGGAGAGACGGGCCGCTTTTTTTTCTCACACAGATTACTTGAAAAATTGACTAAAAAATTACATCGGTCAAACTGGTAGAAACTTTGATAAACGAATAGCAGAACATAAAAGGGCTTTCAAGAATAGAAAAACAGATTCGACATACGCACTTCACCTTCTAGATCATAAACATTCTTTTAATGACAAATTTAAAATTCTTCACATTCAAAATAAAGGCCTTAAGCTATCTTTGTTAGAATCTATGGAAATCAACAAATTAAAAAACACAGATATAATTCTGAATGACCAACTTGAGACAAACAGTTCTCCCCTCCTCAACCTATTTCATTAGAGACTATAAATTTGTAAACCCAAGCCAAAAATAGATCACTTGAGAAAGGCAATCAGCCGAAACAGCTGTAGTGATAAGATTTAAAATAAATTTTGTGGAAGTTTGAAAACAAAGTTTTCAGTGTTTTATTGTTACACAAAATGAATTTCCATCAAGTAACGGTCGAATCCATCAATTAATAACATTTTCCGCAAATCGCCAGGAAATTTTGACATTCCTGTCAAAATTTCTTGAAGAAAAAGTCAGGACTTCCTTACTGTAAGGAAATGTCATTTCCTTACTGTAAGGAAATGATATTTCCGTACAGTTGTTAGTGTTCTACATAAATTAAATTATAATCGTCAAGTTTGACAATTCAACCTCAATACGTTTCCATAGTAACCCAAGTAATTTTATTAGGAATTTCAAAGCACCATTTATTTGGGAATAAAATTATCGCGTTTTTTTTTAAATCAATCAATATCTGTCGAATTTTAAACGATTTGCGGAAAAATAGTATGTTTACCTCGTAGGAAAAGCCACATTCCTGGACTCTGTGTTGCTAAGTCGAGGCGCAAGCCGAGACTTAGCAACACAGAGTCCAGGAATGTTAAGCTAGCAAACAGAATCTTCACAGTCGTCCAGGAATGTTAAGCTTTTCCTACCCGGTAAACAATGTACTATTTTGTTTATTAACCGATTTTAATCTAGAACTTATGATCTCATTTTGCTTATCTTTTTTTTAAAGTTGTCTGTTGATGTCAAATCTCTAAATAAACATGTTTTTAAGTTATAAGCAAAATAGTAAATAATAATAAAATAAGTTCCACTAAAAAAATATTTAATCCCTGGATGAGAGCTTTTTGTAATAATTAATACTGCAAATTATAACTGTTTATCCATATACAGCCGTGTCGAAAAAAAAAACGTAATTTAGTTGGTCTATTTGGTGTTTTAGGTAAAGTTACAATAATCTTGGATTCGTTGTTTTACGAACCTGGAAGTGACAGTGAAGAAGATAAAGCAGCTGTAGAGAGGGGTCTTCAATTCGATGTAAGGTGTATTTTACATTAAATTAAAAGTCTTAAACATATCTAAAATACAAAATTGTACAATTACAGTCAATTGTTTAATCGTAATATCATCATAATTATAACTGTAAAGTTCCATCATAAACGAAGCACTAAAACAAATTACTTATGGATAAAGAATTGGCAATAATCTACTTTAATAAGTTGTGATGTGAAATTTTTGAATATCACAGTGAAATCTAAAGCATGTTTTATCAGAAGCTAAAATAAGCAATGTATCACAGTTGGGATGTGTTATTTAAAGTAAACGAAGATATTCCATGCTAAAATTTAAATCGCACATGTGTGGAATTTCGACAAAAACGTTTTTATTCTTAAAATCACCAAAATCTTCTTTTCTTCACCAATATTTTCTTTATCTCTACGGCATTAAAGTATTTTGTAAGTAAGGAAATTATAAAACTAGATAATAAGACCTTCAATTTCCAATTTGACAAAAGTTTCAAGCTCCTATGGAGCCAAAAATATGACATTTTAAAGATTTTTTTTATTTTCAAGTTAAACGCCAATTTTATCTGATTTTTATTAATGACTGTAAATTCAATTAAATAATGTGTAAATACTTATATGCAAATATTATTTATGTTCCATATGATCGTAATGATTTGTGTTTCTTGGTTTTTTATAGGTAATTCTATTGTTCCAACATCGTCAAGAAAATTTATTTCGGATAAAAGATGCGATTCTTGTCTATCAATCGTCAGAAGAGGCATACAACACAAATGTAACTCCTCCCAATTTGTGCTCAATGTTGCAAATATCTTGGATACATGTAAATCAAAAACAAAAGAACATATCTAAAAAATCCAAATTAAATGATTCTAAGGAAAAACTATAATACCACGACGCTCTCAAATATTCGGGGAAAACCGACAAGTATAACTTTTAATCAAAATCACAATAAAAAATTTCTTTCTGCTAATGATTTTAATATGATTCAATGCGATTTAAATTTAAGTCAAAGAAAAACACTACAATTTGCAAACTTAATACGTAAAGCTACTGGCAGCAGAACTACAGTTGAAAAAGATTTGAAAAGAAAGCTATTCGTAAAGATCCATTCAATTGATGATTATTTCGATACTAAATATTTTGATCTTGAAATGGCACAAAAAAGATATTAGAATGATTTCGAAAGGTGCAATTTGTTGCAATGATATTTTTGGTCTAATTGAGTTTACACAAAAGAATCGTGGATTGTCGATGATTATCTGTAAGTTAGGGATAGATGGGGTGGAGGTTTTCTAAAGCTTTGTTTAACTATTCAGTCTCCACCTCAAATCGACTCTGATTCCAATGTACCACAACGTCGACGTACCTATATAGAAGGAATAGCTTTCAATTTAAAAAAAATTCCGCGATTCTGGGGTAAAGAAGCTACTTATTGTTGGACTTGTACCCGAATGTAAAGAGACGTATAATAATATAAAAATGCTGTGTTCATCAATTAATTTACAAGATATAAATGGTTTTTTTTCTGTGGATTTGAAATTTAATATGTGAAATTGGACCTCATAGTTGTATGCATCCTTGCTGCACTTTGGTGTTTCGCGAGTAAAGATGAATTGGATAAACATGGAAATCTCAGAACAGTAGAACAAATAGAAAAATATTATGGAGACTGGAGAAATGCAGGTGGAAGCGAAAAAGACGCTAGATATTACATGAATTGTGTTAATTTGCCAATAGTGAAGAAAAGTTTTGAGGCACAATCAGAGACATTGATTATAGATTTACTAGTACCTCCTGAGCTCCATCTAATTATTGGTGTTGTAAATACGATTTATAATCATATGTTTAAAAGATTTCAAAGTATTTCCTTAAAGTGGGCTACCTTATGTTACGTTCAGCGTAAAATTTTCCGTGGTTCTTCTGGTTTTGATGGAGGTGATTGTAGAAAATTATTGAAAACAGAATGTACAAGTCTTTTACGTAGACTCTGTGATGATTACAGTATTTTAGAGTGTTTGGATTATGTGGAAGCTTTTGTCGATTTTAATTCTGTTGTTGAAGCTTGTTTTTCACAGAATTAAAAAGCAACTATGTTAATTGTATTTAAAATTTTATGAAAAGTTATATCCATCTTTCTATACCTATCACTCCAAAAGTACACGCTGTTTTTTTCCATATAATAAATTTTTGTACAAAATATATGAAATCGGACATAAATATATGGAATCAAAACAATCCAAAATATATGGAGCAACTAGAACAATCTGTTTGTGAATACAACTCGCTTCATATTTAAAATGTAAGTTTCATGTGAAAAAATGATTAGAAATACTATCTATCATATAATCATCATTTATCTTAGTACATATATTATTTCAAACTATAATATATCATATAATGTAAATTAAAAATGTAACTTCAATTTGTAGCACAAACATTATAAAAAAATATAGATAAATAAATTATTGTATTTAAATAAACATTCTTGATAGTGAATACATTGATATGAACATAAAAAATACTTTTATGCATATAAGTATTTACACATTATTGAATTTAATTTACAGTCATTAATAAAAATCGGATAAAATTGGCGTTTAACTCGAAAATAAAAAAAATGTTTAAAATGCCATATTTTTGGCTCTATAGGTGCTTGAAACTTTTATCTAATTGCAAATTGAAGGTCTTTAGAATCTAGTTTTATAATCTCCTTACCACAAAATACTTTAACAGGTTGACTGCGTTCACAAAATATGTAAACCTCTAAACTGTGCATTACCGGTCCCCCGGGACCGGTGGCTTGGCGCAAACACGGTGCGTTACCGACCGTCGGGGACCGGTAATGACGTAATTATTTTTTTTATTTCTACAGTTTTACAATATAAATTATAAGAGTTTTAAGATCAATTATTAAAAGTAAAAACATTTAAAAACTTACCATTGTCATTCGTTTTTTGATCAGGTTTCCTGTTAAGAATATTTTTGAAGTGTCAAGACAGCTACTATTTTTTTACAGATTTAGATTAAAAGAGTAAATGATACAAAACTTCTTAATATTTTATTAGTGTAAATGATATTTGAAAACAAAAAATATGTCCTAAACTAAATAATATGTTATTAGTTATTAAACAAAAAACAATAAAGTTTCAGGAAATTAAACAATTTTTTCTTAATTATTAAACAAAAAACAATACAGTTTCAGAAAAATAAACTATTTTTTATGAATGCTATTAAAGCAAGATAAACACATTCCTGGTTGACCAGGACATTCATTGCAATAACTTGTTACTTTTGTCACCATATTACTTGCCTGTTTGCTTGAATGTGTTTCTCTTAATTTATGATAGCATCCTTGGCATTGTCTTCTCCTTTTCTTTCCAGGTCCTGATGGTTTAACAAAAGTATGGATAACTCTTTTGGGAGTAGTGGTGTTTTCGTATGCAACTGGAGTAACAAGTAACTCTTGTGCCAATCTTTTTCTAAATTCCATTATAGATAACTTTGTGGAACAAGTAATATTGTTATAAACAATCCAGGCATTTACAATAGATGTTCCGAGCAAAAATTCAAAAGCTAGTTTACGGTACCATTTTAAACTTTTTCTTAAAACGGAATGATACGAACTCATCTGATCACTAAAGTCTACTCCTTTTTTTGCTTGATTGTAATCAATAATTGCCTTTGGTTTCATCACAAGCTCACGTTGCCAGTTCCGCTTTCCTGTTGGTTTTAAGGTAGTTGTATGGGTTGGATCAGTACTTAACATCAGAACTGGCCGTTTGTCCATCCATCTTATAATACGTAACGAGTTGTTCTGAGCACCCCAAATTTCTCCTTTTTTCATTTTTTTAGGTATCGTTTTGGGAATACCTCTTCTGTTAGACCTCAGGGTTCCACAATAAATTATTTTTTTTTTGAATAACGATTTGGCTAAAGGTAAACTGGAGTAATAATTATCAGCATACAAGTAGCGGTAGTAACCATCTTTGAATTCAACATTTTGGAGAAGGTCATATACTATCTGCTCACTTTGACAAGTATTTGCATTAGTAGTCGTATTTTTACCACGATAAACGATTATGTTGTTAGTATATCCATCCACTGTACATAATTTATATAATTTAATTCCATACGGGTGTGTTTTATTTGGGAGATATTGCTTTATTTGTAGTCTTCCTTGATAAGGTACTATACTTTCATCGACAACCAAAATCCGTCCTGGTGTTAATGCAGCTTGAAAATTTTTATTCAATACTTTTAAAACTTCACCTAACTTATAGAGCCGATCATCTTTATTACACTGCTCATTATTACAAAAATGAATGCAACGCATCAATAAAAGGAACCTGTCTCGTCTCATGGTATTAGTAATAAACTCATTCCTGAACATGGGATCTTTTGACCAATACAAATTTATTGCGGGACCATCAACTAATCCCATAACTATACATATTGAAAAAAAAACGTTTAAGTTCGGCTACATCGCAGTCAACCCAGGAACGTATACGTGATTTTGATCGATGTATATTTAACAACATTTGCCGAGCAAATCTATTTGTTTCAGTAACAATATTCTGTAAAAGATCATCAGTTACAAATAACTTGTAAGCGTCTATAGGATTTTTTATTTCATTAACGTTAAAATTTAATATAGGCAACTCTTGATATTGTTGCAACTCACCAGCTTCATTGTCACTCTCATCTATATCATGCCACTCGTTTTCATCATCATTTTCAGATTCTGACATTTTTTCACTTTCAATTTCTGTCTCATTATTATCATCAAATAAATCACTCGTACTTACATCACTGCAAGAGTCATCTGAAGAAAGAACATAGTTTTTGTCGATTACAGAATCGTCCGAATCAAAAGGATCGTCCCGTTCATTTTCACTGTCACTGTTTGGCAACTCTGCAAGCACATGATCTCTTGAATCACCAGGACTTTGGCGCGCATTTACAACACTTGGGTTATCTTCGTTATATTTTTTATTTTCAAATGAAGTACTCGGTTCGTTACACTCTACAGTTTTTGTTTTGTTTGTATCAGCTGTTTTAGCTAAAAACAAAATCTTTTTAACGCGAGATGACATTTTTAGACTAGTAAAACACAGACATAAACACACCTGCTATTGAAATACAAACGATACTAAACGTGGATTGACTGCGCAAGCAAGCATATATAAATATGCACCGGTCCCACAGGACCGGTCTCGCACCCGAGTAACAAATTGTAATGTCTGTGCGTTACCGGCCCCCAAAGCCCGGTACATTTTTTTCTTTTAAAAATGTTTGGAATCTTGAAACAAGTATAATGCTGTTTTTAGCATTTAAAACAAACGAATATTAACGAAGATATGCTTTTCGCAATTTTTAAAAGTTTGCAGTTTTCACATACCGCACTTTAATAATAACGAACACCGGTCCCACGGGACCGGTAACGCAGTCAACCTGTTAATGTTGTAGACATGAAGAAAATATTAAAATTTTAAGCATGATCTAATGTCAAATAATTTTAATAATAAAAACCTTTTTTTCAAAATTCCACACATGTGCGATTTAAATTTTAGCATGAAATATCTTCTTTTACTTTAAATAACATTTCCCAACTGTAATATGTTGGTTATTTTAGCTTTTGATAAAACATGCTTTAACCACCATGTCTGGTAATCCGTAAATATCCGTCAGCTTAAAACATCAACTAGCATACAAATATATCTATCTTAGGACTATCTATTTTAGGATACTCAACCTAAGTAATAGATACGTTATAAATAAATATATACATCCAAACATAGCGACCAATAAACATCTAAACACAGCGGGAAGCGAACTTCCTGATAAGTACTGGAATATCTTAGAAACAATCCCACTAAAATATCGCAGGCAATAGAATGCAATTGCAAAAAACGGTGTTCTAAGAGCCATTCCTAACAACCCTGAGAACTGGATAAGTAGTAACTGGACTAGATAGTAAATTGCTAAAACTAACTCAGCTATCATAATAATATCTGTAAATCACTTACCTGAGCAAGTACTGCGAGCTAACACATACCCAAAAACGTAGCTTGTACCACATCTTCCAGCCCACATCCACAATACTAACAGTACACAATACATTTCCTTAAAGAGGGGAAAGCCTATATCGAGGTCGTCATGACCTTTGTCATTAATGTTAACAATTGTATAGTTTAAGTAAAACTTTTGTTACTTTTCTTTGAACAGTAAAAATATACAAAAATCGCATCAAAAACTGTACAGTTACAATATTATTAAACACTAATTGGTAAACACATAATCTGTGTATATAAAGATAATTTTATCAACGTTATCCCATTGCAAATATAGCGCATTTATCCATTTAAAGATAAATATTTCATTTTTAGATAGGTATATATGCAAACCCAATCTACAATGGTGATTGGCCCCAACTGGTGAAAGATCGTATAGCCTATAGAAGCAAACTGGAAGGTTTGGAAAAATCTCGTTTACCCGAACTAACAAAAGAAGAAATTGATTACATTAGAGGAACTTACGATTTCTTTGCATTAAACCATTATTCCACGAACATGGTCAATTCTACCGAGGAGCCTCCGCCAGGTAATCCATCGTATGAAGCGGATCAAAACATTGTCACCTGGCACAAACCTGAATGGGAAATGGGTAGCGCAGATTGGTTTTGGGTAAGAATAATATGTTATGTGATTTTTTACAAATTGCTTTAACATTTTGTGTTTTTTGTGCTGTTAAAAGTCTTAATTACTATTTAACAGGGAATAAGCTAAAATTAAAGATAAAAAAATACGTTTATTGACGTTTCAATTTCCACTTCGGAAATCGTTCTCAAAATACAAACAGTAAATTAAACAAATTTTGTTTTTTGTTACATAGTGAAAAATTCTTCTAATAATTTAATTTTATCTGACTCATTTATATTGACAATTCAGACATACATTATGCATTTTAAAGTAGACGACTTTAAAATGATATTGCCAATATTGTTGAGTTGCGCTCCTGGGACGACTTTACTTATAAGATAGTTCATTCGATTACATGAAATCAACTTTAACTTGAGAATATCCATCAGAAAAAAATCATAGCATGTAATTCGTCTTTAAAAAGACAAACACATGACATGATGACAGTAAAATTCTCCTGTTAGTGATTCCATAGTAAATTATGAGGGAAAACCAGGAAAAAAACCTCATAATACTATCCCGACATGGTAAGTATTTGTTCGTGCATTTAGTTTACCTTCATAAACACCAAATTCTGATTTTATATGTTTCGTTATTTAAAAAACATAAATGATGTATCCTCTATATGTTACTGACTTACTAATACTGGTATTTTCTTATTAATAACTTCCTCTTTCAATATTGGTAACCAGATCCTACTACATTCTGCCGAGGAATTTGCGACACAATTGGCCTCATTTAGCATAATTAGAGCCGCTTCTTTGTTTTTTCTATTTTTACTCCTTTAAATAGTAATTAATTTAAAATGCTGTAGCGTTTACGCTACTGATTAACCCCTCACGAAAATTTTTGTGTTCCGCCAGCGATCGATTTTTAAATGGACATTTTTCCCCACACGCGCAGTAGTCGCTTAAAAAGGAAGATTGGTCGAGTCTGTACGAGAACGATCAGTTTTGGTCAGAACTCGTTAACGCAGACACGCCAACCGGTGAAATTTTTTCACCTTCAAAGTGACGGAATTGGAACAAGGAAAATAATTTGGGGAAGAATAAATTAATTCATAAATAAAATAGAAATATTAATAATAATAATTAATTTTTAAAATCAATATTTATAAGAGTTCCACATAAAAGGAAGATTTTTTTGGCGTGCTGCGGCTCCATATTCCGTCACTTCACTTGAGAGTATTCTCTTAAGAATATTCCCTCAAGGAATAGTTACAGAATTTATTGAATAGTTAACAACTTGGTTATGGAGTTACCGATTTCTCGGAGCAGATAGACCAGTGCCTGGTTTGACTACATTAGACTCCCCTGGGTTTGTCCTTACAGCCACAAACTGATGTAACCGTGCCAAGAGGAATTTTCCTATGGACTTATGGGCTGTAAAGATAAGTTGTTTGACTGTGTAATTTTTTTGTTACTGTCTATTTTGTTAACTTTTCATATGCATATGATCAAGTGACTACATTTTGATAAAATATAATTTTGATATTATTGGGAGAGGGAAAATACTTTCATGTTTTATGAGGTTTTATTTTAATTAGGATTTCAGAGTACTGACCAAACTCACTTTTTTTGATATAATATTTTTTTTAATACAATACATTTTGATACAATAGAATTTTGATTTTGGGAAGGGAAATAAATTTCATGTGGTTTTTTTTTAAAACATTATATAAAGAGTATTGAAGACTCACTTTTTGGATGTAATATATATGAATTGTAACAGATTTATCAAGTTTGATATCTTTACAATATTGTAATTTGTATCTCATTTTAGTTGAACTATTTAAATTTAAATTACTACCTTTTTGTGTTAAGACTTTGGCTACCATACGGACTATTCTTGTTGTTTACTAATATTTCACACTTTATTTGGCCAGTGGTAGTGACTATTCGCTTGTTGAGGGGCTATTAGGTCCTATTGTATCTTTACACACCCACTACCACTGTTATTTAGTTTTGCATTATATGTAAATTGTTCATACATATATATCTATATACACATTTTTATAAATATATTTATTGTTACTATTTTGAGTTTTATTTCAGTTCTACTAACCAGTATATAATATAGCAAGACAAGATTAGTATTTAGTATTTTGTATTTCAGGTTATTATCTCCAGTATCATTTGTTTCCGTCATTTGTTACTTCAAAATCTCAACTATCGTTGAGTTGGCGCCCTTCTTTTCTCTTCTTATTGTTTTTTCTATAAATTTATTCCCAGTGACCTTCTTTAGTTGTATCACATTTGATATTAACAGGTCTCATTTCGTTTCTTGTCTCATTAGCTCATTATCCTTGCTATCTGCTTTGTATCTTTAAAGCCACAATCCAGTGCATTGAAGCTAGCCCGAACACTCACTTGAGATTTAGTGTCTCTTTGGCCATTTAAATTTGTTCCTCTGAGCTTAGCCATATTTTTAGTATTTTCATCACCTCTCTTCCAGTTCTTCTGGAATTTGGAAGTCTTACACTTCCTAAAATCCAATACTCCTGGAGTATTTGTTCATTGAGGTTTCAATGACACAAGAAAATAGCTTCAGAACAACTACACAACAACTTACGGTAAACCTGGACCTAGGACCAGGTTAACAAGAACTAGGCATCTAAAGAAAAAACAAGATATAAAAGTGGATGCGAAATCTCTAATGATTTTGGTTGAAGTCAAGTCAGAGATATTGGCTTTTATTATTACATGTCCTGTCTTTTATCACTACCATATTTTTCTGTTCTTTGGATCTTTTGACTTCTATTTTTATGTTGCATTTGCTCCAAATTATTAGTAGATCAATGGTCTTGAGTCTTCATTATTTAAACCGATTTTTCGAAGTGCAATTTTGACATGATTACCATTTTTCTTTCTTATTTGGCATATATCAAGTTTTTTTGCACCTTGAAATTAGATCATGGTTTATGTAATATTATGTGCCTTTTAATTTTATTTTAACCGTTTTAATGATTTTATTCTCTATAGAATTATTCTTTACTTATTTATTATCTACATATATTATTTACTACAGAATTATCTATAAAGAATAATAGTACAAATATTATTTTAAAACCAAAATTTGTATTTCGGCTTTTACCAGGTCGTTCCAGAAGGATTAAGACATTTTCTGAACTGGATTAGAAAAAACTATGGGGATGTTGAAATTTTTATAACAGAAAATGGTTTTTCTGATACTACTGGGATTTTGGAAGACTACCGTCGAATTAACTATTATGAGGTATGTATATATTTAATATTGTAGGTACTTATTTTTATATTTAAAATAGCTAGACGTTTAAGAATTCTATGTTTGTGGTATATTTCTTCTTTTCGAGTTTTCTTTGCAGCCTTCGTAATTTTTTTCCTGTCACCTTATCTCTTGCACTGGTGAGTTTTTCATCTATCCCCATTTTTTAGGTTTACTATGGCATTTAGACCATAGTATAGACCAACTGGAAATTTTTCCCAACACTTACGACCCTGATCTTAATATGTATCTAATCTATTTAAAGATTTAAAGTTATACTGTAAATCGTTTACAAATTTCGTATAGTTCAGAACGACAGAGAGCGATAGTGGTAAATCGTTTTCGTTTAAGGCCATCAAAATAGATGGCGCTATTTTTAGCTTACCACTCGAGAAGTGGGAAATAGCAGAACAATTCTTTGACTTACTTGTAGGAATTTGTATCTATCCGACTGTCTGAGGATATATTCCATCCAGCAAGCAGAGATAAGAATACTTGCGGGTCCAGATATCCCTGCTCGTCGTAAGAGGCGACCAATGGGAAGCAATGAGAGGTAGAGACCCATAGTTCGAGGTGTCGGTTTGTAGAAACGTACGCAGGGCGCTCTGGCGTTACGGTTATCAGTCTACGCTCCTAGTATCCGAGACGAAACTCTCGTGGTACCCTCTACTCTCATTCCACAGAACCAAAGTGAGGTTAAACGAACTGCGACCCTTATGCGTCCTTTCCCCATTAAGTACGTATGGTTGCGGCACTTACTCAGTATTGAGGCGCCCACTCACCAAGAAGGAAGAATGCGCAATTAAGTCTGCATGTTTGCTGTAAGGTAAACCCGTACGCTCCACGCCGGCATACACCAGTACTTTTGCTTTCAGTTTAGAAGTACGGTTAAAGTGAACATGACGTCAAAAAACGATCTTTTATTAATGGCAGTGGCGTGTGTTTGTATTAAAGAAAGGTGTCGTATTAAAAGAAAACCAAGGTCGCAATGGACAAAGGCTTGGTTACAAAAACGAGCTACGTACTCTCATGTCAGTTTACTGGACGAATTGCGACTGGATTCATCAGATTGGCATAATTACTTGAGAATGGATCAAGATACGTATTTTGAACTATTATCTTTAGTAACTCTTTTGATACAAAAACAGGACACGCGAATGCGGCAGGCTTTAACGGCACATGAAAGGCTAACTGCTACATTAAGATTTTTGGCAACGGGAAGGAGCTATGAGGACTTAAAATTTTCAACAATAATTTCAGCTCAGGCATTAGGTCGAATTATTCCGGAAACATGTGAAGCAATATGTCGTGTATTACAAAAGGAAGTAATGAAGTAAGTTGATTTGCAATGTACATTTTTTTTTCATTAGAAAAAATAATCTTACCTATATAAAATTCGTTTTTATTGAGATTTTCAATAAAGACAAAGAACTGAAAACACAAAAACTGAAACTAGAATCGGTACAGATCATACTAAAAATATTAATATTTCAAAAAAATATCTTTTACAAATTGCAGAAATCAGTATTATTAGAAAAATTCTTATAATATGTAGCAACGGAATTGGATTGTTGACCCATTGAACTCGGTATCTGAATATTGACTTGTTATTGACTTTCACATTGAGGTAATGCAGACACAAGTGGCATATTTACCGAAAGAATAGAATTTTCATTGAGCCTTCCTAGTTCTGCATTGTAAAGTATATCATTAAACAACTTTTCTGCAAACATCCTTGTGTTGGTAGGGAATCTTCTCAATTTACAGGCTATATTCTTTCCTATTCGATCACTGTATGCTTTATTTTTAATCTGCCATAAACAGGGATAACTTCTGTATAGCTCTATGAATTCCGTAATAAACTCTCTCGACATGCACCTTATATCAGTCATGGTTTTTAATTAAGTGTTTGTTTTCTCATAAAATTATAAAATGCTTAATAATATGCAACATCCAACGAACAGTCGTACAGCACTGATTGAAAATGAAACATGCAGAGACTTGTTGCCCATACACTCTCATTCTTCCCCGCGCGATGATAATTGCACACGCTAAAAATCAAGACGATCCTGATTTTGAGAGGCTTGGTTGCGCATTCCACATTTTTCGCCATACACACACACTTTTAACTGTACCCCGTGCCATGCACATTCAATCCTTCGAGCTTCCTTCTGAGTGAGTGGGCGCCTTTGGAGATTTAAATGTGGGAGAGAAGATCTCCTCGACGGCTACCTGTCTACGTGTGAGGTCAAGTTCTTCTACCTGTGCTCACCTTTCCGATCTGGGGGTGGGAATAACGGACTGGTGTTTGTAACTTAACACAGATTGTAAGACCAGGTCAGACCTGGGTCCCGTCGATATTTTATTATCGGAGGAACACGAACTTCTTCGTACCTGAAGGCTAAGGAAATACAGAAATAAAGTTATAACAGTGTATTGATACTAATTCATTTATGAAAGGTTTAACAAATTGTGCTCCTTTTGCCGTTTATTTAAGTTTATTTCAATTCATCAAAACGTAGCAAAGCTTTTGATGAAATTTGTAAATCTTTGTATATATTGTATATATATATATAGGTATATTTAAATTTAATTTCAGCAATATTTAAGTAGCTGCTTAAATGCCATTTATGAAGATAATATTAAGTTAATAGGCTACACAGCTTGGAGTATTATCGATGATTGGGAATGGATGTCTGGTTATACGTAAGCATGCATACAATAACCAATAAAATATATTAAAAATCGCTATTTTTTATATTCTAGGTCATTTTTAGGAATGTACAGAGTAAACTTTACCGATCCTGAAAGGACTAGAACTAAACGGCTATCGGCTGAATACTTTACTAAAATAGTTTCCAATAGGTGCCTTGTTGATGAAGAAAAATGTATAGGTTGAAATATGAAGTAATACAAAACAGTTTATCACACTCTGAATTTTAATTATTTTGATATAAACTTTGTTTTGATTTACATACTTGATTTTTTGAGAAGACCTTTTCTTCTAAGTAACATGATGTCATTTATATACCCCATTCCACGAATATACGACTGTTTTAAATTCGCTTTAAGGTGTCGATTCAATTGGTCCAATGTATTGAATTGTACAATAGTAAATTCTCCCCATTTTTAAAATACTGTTACGACAGATATAAACCTTAGATTTAAATATAAAGTCATGATATAAATATAAAGTTAATAGTTTATAAAACAGTTGTAATTCAGATTTTGAAGTATATAATTACTATCATGGAGTTTATTTTTTCATTTCAATTATTTCATTGTAAACAAGTTGGTTTTTGAATTATGTGATTTAAACGAAATGTAACAATACTTAAGTGATCAAATAGTATAAATTTTTTAGTCGAATATTCAATTAATATTAAAAAAACCAAAAATCTTACTTATTCACTTATTCTCTTATTCTTCTAAAACTATCATCAACGATCAGATTCACAGCCATAATCAGTCGGCGATATATGAAACTGTATATAAATTTTCGTTACTTTTTAATATCTGTAACGACTCGGTACTTTAACTATCAATAGCCGGTATGTTATACCCGTTACTTTCGGAACTTTTAAGAGTACATAAACTCAAAGCAAACAAATATTTAAAACTAACAAAGTGAAATATTAGATCCTTTTTCTGGTTTGTGAACCATCGTTCTGCCAATTTCTTTTAATTTATATTAAAAATAGTATATTTTTTTTATTACAGTTATAATACCTAATAAAGTAATAAAATGTGTTATATCAAAGAAACCCAGCATCAGATCTAAAACTACTTTTCAGATCACAAATCAAAAAGTCCTGGCAAAATCAATAAAAAAGTTCAACCTCGTAACCTACACACAATACAACCTACCATCAAAACCTTTCAGCTGTCTAACTTAAGTAGAAGAGACAAAGTAATCGTTCGCAGGCTAAGAATTGGTCACACACGGCTGACAAACGGACACCTGATGGCTTCGGAGAAATTATCTGTCTGTGAAAAGTGTAGTGAATTATTAACCGTTCAATATAGCCTTACACAGTGTTTCGAGTACAAGCAAGCACAAAAAAATACTCTATATATGGTCTTACAAATGTGATCCTCAGCCAATTGGATCTTATTCCTAATGTAGTAGATTTCCTTCGAGAAACGAATTTGTATTACAAAATTTAATGTTTTTTTTCTTCTGTTTTTACTTTGTCTTTTACTCTCTTTATTTTATTGTAATGTAAAATTAATCTATTTTAAACTATAATTATATTGTAATGTAAAATTTATAGTACCAAAATTGACCCAGTGTCAATAACCTTGTAGTTGAGACACAATAAACTCAATAAAAAAAACATGTTTTAATATAACAAAAAGTGTTACAATTGTTTATTTTTTTTAATCAGTCCTGTGTTAATTAATGTATTCTTTACTCTTTCTATTACTATATCTTTATATTTCCAAATTGATTCATCGGTTATAATGGATTGTTGTTCCTCTTTGCATTTGACTTTACAATTTTCTCTGTAGTGCTGCAAATGTGCATCTTCAGAATCTATATGATATTTCAGACAAGGTCCAGGTTTAAGACATCCAAGTGGGAAGTGATTGAAAAGTGTTAACACTTTTTCAGTGTTTACAATAGACTTAAGGAAGTCTTTAGCGTGCATTTTCTCGTCTCTGTATGTATGTCGAAGCATGTACATGTGCCTAAAAATTAGTATTATATGTATTTAAAATTGCAGAAGATTGGGTGAAGTTTAAAAACAACTAATAAAACAAAAGAAGACTTAACAATATTTTTGCAAGTAATGTGCACTATTAAAAGTAAAATTAAAAGTGCAACAAACGTCTACGTTCAAATTGCATAGTTTTGAGAAAAATGAGAAAAACGTGTCATTTAGTTATAGTTGAAATTATATTATCTTATATTTTATGGTATAATATTACCAAGATTCACCGAATGATTGCCGGTATAAGCAATCCCCCACTTATGACCAACGGCTGCGGGCGGATGAGTTAATAAGTGGAAGGGCACTCTTTTGTCCAAGGGTTGAGAAAAAGGTCCTAAAGACGGATGAATTGAAAAATATGTCAACGGCGTAAGGATGCAGAAGGCAACGGGAAACCACTGCATTAAAGACTCTTAGAGTACCCCTAGTAAAGTCATGAATGGCAAATGACAAGTAGAATAAACAAACTTACTGATTATGGAGCACGGAATCCAAGATCCGGCAGGGGAGGAATAACTGTAGATCACAGGGCCTCCCAGGTCGTAAACCAGAGAAATCCATGTGGGCTTAAGACATTGAAAATAGCAACCTGGAATGTCAGAAGTTTATATGCAAGTGGTAAATTAGCGAACGTTTTAGGTATAAGTCACGTACAGTGGCCAGGTTCAGGCAAACAAATTACAAATAATGGAACCATGTATTATTCAGGTAACAACGAGGTCAATCATCGCTATGGAGTTGCTATCTTAGTTGCAAAAAAGGTAAATTACTCTGTGATAAGTTTTACTCCTTATCCTGATAGGATCTTATCAATACAACTACGGTCTAAAAAAAGTATAGTAAATTTTATTCAAGTTTATGCTCCTACGGCAGATAAAGATGACGACGATATCGAACTGTTTTGCCATGATTTGGAACAAGTCTTAAAATCAATGAAGAAACATCACACTACAATAGTAATGGGCGACTTCAATGCCAAAGTTGGCCAGGAAAGAGTTGATGGATATGTGGGGGAATAGGGTCTAGGAAATAGAAATGAACGTGCTGACCGTTTGATACAATTTTGCCAGACGGAAGAATTTGTAATAGCTAATACACTTTTTAAGCTACCAAAAAGAAGATTGTATACATGGAAATCTCCCGGTGATACAACGAATAGAATAATCCAAAATCAAATTGACTTTGTCCTTATTAGACAAAGATTTCGTAATTCTATACTGTCTGCCAAAACTTAACCTGGAGCAGACATCGATTCAGACCATAACCCCATAGTAGTCACATTACGAACCAAATTAAAACTGGTTAAAAAACCCACACAAAGTAGAATTGATATTAAGAGATTAAGGGAACCACAAACAAAGGAACAAACTGTAAAAACTCTTACTGAAAACCTACGTAATGCCCAAGAACTGAATAAAAGTAGCTATAACACTGATCAGAAATGGGAAAGTATAAAAGTAGCAATAATTAAAACAGCAAATGAAAACTTAAAACCAAATGATAGAAAACATAAAGATTGGATGACTGAAGAAACACTACTATTAAATATAGATATATATTGAAATATAATGAAACTGATCGATTAATAAAAAAGAGAATAAAAGAAGCTAAGGAGAGAATGTTACATGAGCAGTGCCAAGAACTAGAAGAAATTGAAAAAAAATATGACTTTTTTAATATGCATAAAAGAATTAGAGAATTACCAGAGATGAGAAAAACACTTCAAACTAGGCAACTACAAGATGAAAGGGGTGCACTTATAACAGATATAAACCAAAAAATGCAGAGATGAACCATCCACATCCATCATACCACACTATTTCATCATTTTCTCCACTATTCACGTCTACATCACATTCCAGTCAATTCTTCTTTCTTTCATTATTTCTTGGTCAATTCATATATTAAACATACACTCATTAGTTTTAAACTCTGTAACCATTTATACATTATCTAACAATTTATCATAATTCATTATTTTCCCCATTACCAAAAAAATCCCAATCAACAATTGATCCCCTTCTCTTGTTCAACAACTTAGTAGCAAACACACACATCAAATTTCAGGTTTTATATAAACCTAATTTAATACAACCAAAATAGATTTTGTTCACGGTGCTAGATGCTCTTAGCATGAAGGACCTCTATTATCTCTAATTGTTGATCAACTCTTTCTCTCCTTTAACCCTCCCCTTCTTCTTCAGTCATTCCTTTACTTTTATTCGTATCAAGTCTCTGAGGAGCTCAGTCAGAGAGATTAGCTTTTACGGGAAGTTTTTTTGATTTGTGATAATTCGGTTTTTTTCTTTGTGTTTTAAGAATGTATAGTTGTATTAATCATTGCTTGAATATAGTTTATAGTGATCAGCTAAGATTTCTACAATTTCTAGTTTATCTGAAGTAATTAAGTTATCGGTAGCAATGGTGCCAATATGATTAATTTTGGTTGAGCCTTTTATTTTCCTTATTTTCTGGCTCAGGTAAATAGTGTACTATTTTTGAAAATTTTCCATTTTTGGATAAAGTTGAAAGGAAATGGATCATAACAGCATTTTTGTTTTGCCACCACAGTTATCAGTAAATATATGCAGAACAGTAACAAAACTTTAAATATGTATAAAATGCCACAAAAACGATACAATTTCTATGGAGCCTTTCTTCGCAACTGTTTCGTCAAACATATAACTGACTGATTTATTATTAGAAGAAAAGTAAAAAAGCTGATGACCCAGCTGTGCCTAGCATAAAATATTTTCCCCGTAGCAATTTCAGTTGTTTCTTTTTTCATTATCGTAGAACGCTTGAGCTTTTCAAGATGAACTTCATTTTGAATCTTCAGTTTGTGCTTAAGTTCGTCCTTAGAGGCATAAGTCATATCAAAGCATCAGCGTTGCGTAAAAACTCTGCGTTGCGTATAAACGTCGCGAATAAAAAATGTTATTGGTTTTACAATAACAGAAATTGGGAACGCCGTGAGCAGCTTACCGACGTTGATGCGTAAAAGAGCACATGCATGTAAGACAATTCCTTTAGAGAATGCCCAGTTTTTTGTCTCTACACAACTTGCGATAAAAAACGCTGTTGTTCTAGATGATACAAAATGAAACTTTTGTCAAGCGTTTTTTGTCGCGTGTCGCTTTCAAATCAAATTTGTACAGTAAATCAGTGACCATCTTACCGTGCAATAAGGAAGTGTACCTTTATTAGATATCAGTTAAAGTGAAACACACTTTGAGAAAAACTTTGACAAGAGAGTCACTTTGAAATTAGATCTAGTACTGAGCAAGCTAGAGCCGAATACGATTTTAGTACACATTATTATAGGCATATGGATTTTTTCTATTTAGTTTTACTATCTTCTACTTCCTCTTCATTTTACGATTCGAATTCATCACCTGAACTAATTATAACATTATCTGTTAAAAAGTCCATATAGATTTATCAATAAACAGACTCATTAGATTATTACCTGCCATTTATACTTACTTAGGTATAGTTTTATCCTGAGTTGTACGATTAACAAAATGGGCATTTGTCACAGTATATGCAGCTCCCCGTTCAATTTTTCCTTTTGCTAATAGTTTCATTTTTACTCTATGCATCAGTGCGTTTAAGTTATCATCTTTCATAGGAACTATCACTTCATCTGTATCGATCACAATAATGTACCTTGGGAAAAAAATTACTGACAGATATATTTTAATATTTAAATAAATGACTAAATGTTACATTTAGTCTATTATGACTAAATTTCATTTAAAGTAATGAAAATTATTATTTATTGATTATGCAGCTCAAAACAGTGAATGTGAGCCCAGATTACACCAATATTTTCAACCAGGAATGTCGAAAGTATATAACATCAAACAATATAGGGAATGCTAGATAAAGTCCAGAGAAAAGTCTTACTAAGGTTAGCACGTGCATACAGAACATGAATGGTGGCCATACAAGTAATCGCGGGTGTGATGCCCATCCATCGAATGTAAAGGAAAGGACAGAAACTTTCGAGAAAAATGAACAGGAAAAAATAATAGCTACGAATAGCAGAATAACGAAGTGGTAGAAAAATTAGATAAATAAGCATATGTAACGTTTAACACTTTCTAATTTTAATTTTGACGTTAATAGTCTTTTATAACCACTAATAGTTAGATGATCCATATTACCTGTATAACAATTTCAATTTGATAACTATAGTGCAGGTGTCCAACTTACTGGACAACAAAATTAAGAATCTGTTTTGTGTTGCTTTTTTTTTAATGGTTTCAGTTGCAGAACAAAATTTTATTTAGTTATTTAGAAAGTTAATAAGTAGAATTGTTTTGGTTTTACTAGTTTTTGTTCAGTAAATGGCCCCACGTTGGGCGCCAATGTAACAACAATTATATACTTGTACTTTTGTGGTAAGTACCAATATAACAAGAATGAGGAGTTGGCGGATGTAGTGATCAACTATGCAAAGATGAAAGAGATGTGCTCACAACAGAATATTGTGGGACCTAATGCTGCTTGGCTAGCAGACTATGCCAGAGCAGGACAATTAACTCAGAAGGATTCGGCCAATTTGCATACATCTAAAAGATAGTTACCTTAAGATTAATGTCCTAACTAATATAGCATACGCATACTGAACTAATATGTTCAATAAATCGATTATTTGTAAACAATTACTGAACAAAAACTAGTACAACAAAAACAATTGTACTTCTTCTCCTTCTAATTAACTAAATAAAACTTCTTAAAAGTTTTTTGTCCAATAAGTTGGACACCGTCACTATGCTACAGGTGTTGCTAGTTTCAAGTCTTGATCGGATGTGAATAAAACTTGGAAGAAGGTATCAGATCTCAAGTCCAGTTGCGCATGCCAAAAATAATATTAATTTTTAAATTAATAGTCTTTTTGGGCACATCAAACATTGATTTGTGCTCACAAAGATCTATATTATGGTTCAAACTCTCAAATGAAATTCGAAAACCTCTTAGCTGAAAAATTTGCAGTTACTAAGGGTCTCAGACAAGGATGTTGTATCTCTCCGACTCTATTTAAGATTTATATCTCTGTATCTCTGAAATAATGGAAAAGGAAAGTGAAAGAAATGGGTATACAATTGAACGATCAGGATTACATATATACTTTACAGTTTGCAGATGATCAGGTGGTGATCTCAAATGACAAAGACGACATGAAATAAATGCTTAGAAAACTAATTGAATAATACCAGAAATGAGGATTAAATATCAATTTAGAAAAGACAAAATACCTTTCAATTGGAGCTGAACCAGAACAACTCGATATCGATGACAATCAAAAAATAAATCCATGTGACGAATATAAATACTTATGCGTCATCTTCGACCGTAGTGGAAAAGACGAACGAGAAATAGAACATCGAATTGTACAAGCACGAAGAGCTATAGCATGTTTGAACGGAGTTCTATGGAGTAAAGAAATATCAAAGAAAAGCAAATGGAAGATCTAGACATGTAGAGAGTCTGGAGAATAACCGAGAAATATAAGAAAAGGGTCGAAGTCACGGAAATGGATGCCATCAGAAGATCGATGAGAATATCAAGAGCCGACAGAATACGGAATGAAGTGATAAAACAACAAATGGGTATATATATATATATATATATATATATATATATATATATATATGTGTAATTTTTAAATTATAATTATAAAGTGACGAACGTTACATGTAGAGTGGTCTGGACAAGGGTATGAATTTTGAATGCTGCAGAATGGATATGGTACGGTAAATAAGACATTTATCATTTTTTTTCCTCAGTTCCTACCATTAACTGCTCCTTCAGGATCTACCTAAAAATGAGAGGAAAGGTTGCATAATGTTTGATTAGAACAGAAATAAATTAACACAGTTGTCAGAAAGAAGAAAATAATAAAGAGTTATCTGCAGCGAAGATAAAAGGAAAATAATGAAAGAAAGAAAAAGCATGAGAGAGAAGACGGACTATTGCTGGACACGGAGCAGCTGTGGATATATCTGTGAGCACAACTCCTCTGGGAGTACTGCCTGCGAATAAACCCTTACAACCTCAATCCAACATACACCAGTGGTTCTTACTTGGATACGGCCTGGTATGGTCTTTAGAAGATTTACCACTACCTTTCCATAAAAAAGAGATACATTATTACCTATGCATGCAACAGGCAGGCGTACAAAAATTAAAGAAACTATCACGAGTAAAATTAAAGAATAGGTACTGAGTAAAATAATAATAGTTTCCACACCGAACATCAAAATCACAAATTTCACATTTCAATCACAAAAGTATATCACACATACTTACTTATATCGATACATGTTTCTGTAAAAGCAATCGTTGTATGGTACAATTTCATTAAGTCTTTTTCTTATACTTTGTTTCTGTAGATAAAAATGTTGTAAAAACGGAACATTAGACGCGCCTCCCGGTAATGTTATAGGAGTAACTTGGATCTTAAACATAAATGGAAATATTTTGACTGCGTTATCTTTGGACAATTTCTAACAAGTAGTTTTAAAAAATAAACAACTTTTTTAAAGACATACTTTTCCTATTTTCTCATAATAATTCAAAATTTTTCTTATATTCGGATGTGTGTAGAGCTCGTAGACGAAAATTTTATTTACGCCTGTAGCATTTAACAATTCTATCCACTCCGACAGTCTGGAGGAAATATCGTTTGGAAAACTTAAGCCTAAAATCCAAAGAAAATGGGTAATAACGTTAAATAACACCTTATTTACAAAAGTTTAAATAATCTTAACAACATCTCAAGTACTAAATTCTTAAAAAAAATTCTATGAAATTCTGTAAAATTTATTGAATTTTAAATTTTTTAAAATATTATGAAAATCCTTTCAATTGTAGTGCTCTCAAGTTCTTATTTAATATATTTTACCAGCTTTGGTTCTGTCTTATGTTCATCTTATTTTTGGTTTTCTCTTTTTATTTTGCGTATTTGATCTCTAATTAATATTGTTCTATATATATATATATATATATATATATATATATACATATAAACTAAACAATAAAGTTTATAAGTTTATTAGGGCTGCAGTCAGAAGTTTGGCCGGGATGTTACAGAAACACTCTTTTGACTTTTGGTCTAGCTTTCGGAATTGTTTAATTCCTTTTTCAAGACACTGTAATTAGAAAAATGTGTAAATATTTACAATCACAAAATGTCAGTGTACTTACTAGTCGTTGAGATTATTTGTATAAAGCTATGACACTCAACATTAATAACAAACATATAAAATATAACTTATAAAATAATGGACAAAATACATTTTAAAATTTAGTTAAAAATAGTAAAAATTCGTTTGCTACATCTTTTAATGGTGTGTTTTAACTGATCCATAGACAATAAAAAAAAACAATAACCTCCAAAAATAAGACATGGGACAGAAGGTGCAGAGAGATGGAATCTTATATTGGAGGACGACAATGCACTGAGGCGTGGAAGTTTATAAACTCTGTTAAGAAACCGACTAACGAGAAAGTGATTCTAAATCCCATAAATCCCGAAGATTGGACACTTTATTACAAAACATCTATTAAATGAGAACAGAGTTTAACGAATTTAAAGAAGATATGAATTCATCAAGACCTCTTAGCTGAAAAATTTGCAGTTACTAAGGGTCTCAGACAAGGATGTTATATCTCTCTAACTATATTTAAGATTTATATCTCTGCAGCTCTGAAACAATGGAAAAGGAAAGTCAAAGTTGAACGGATCAGAATTACATATATACTTTACAGTTTGTAGATGATCAGGTGGTGATCTCAAATGACAAAGACGACATGGAATACATGCTTAGAAAACTAATTGAAGAATACCAGAAATGGGGATTAAATATCAATTTAGAAAAGACAAAATATCTCTCAATTGGACGTGAAGCAGAACAAATCGATATCGATGACAATCAAAAAATTAATCCATGTGACGAATATAAATACCTGGGCGTCGTCTTCGACTGTAGTGTAAAAGACAAACGAGATATAGAATATCGAATTGTACAAGCACGAAGAGCTATAGCATGTTTGAACGGAGTTCTATGGAGTAAAGAAATATCAAAGAAAAGAAAATGGAACATCTATGAGACCATGGTTAAAACTAGCCTACTTTATGGAGCTGAAACATGGAGAATAACCGAGAAATATAAGAAAAAGGTCGAAGCCACGAAAATTGATGCAATCAGAAGATCGGTGAAAATATCAAGAGCCGACAGAATACAGAATGAAGTGATAAAACAACAAATGGGCATAGAGGGCACTATAGCTACGGATATTGAGAGAAAACAGCTTATATGGTATGGGCATGTGAGCCGAATGGGGGACGAAAGATTGCCTAAAAAAACGATGATGTGGCAACCCCTAGAGAAGAGGATACGAAGAAGACCACCACAGAGCCTGGGAACCTGGAAGTTAGGAAAGCGATTAGCGCTCGAAATCTGGACGAAGACCTAACTCAAGACAGAATCCAGTGACGTTTGGGAGTCGGACAACGTCGTAAGACGTTATAAAACCGAATATATATATATATATATATATATATATATATATATATATATATAATATTTTAATTTGCAAACAAAATTAAGATATTATGTGAAGAGTGCAAAAGTTGGAAGAGTTGGAAAATAAAGAAGACGACAGAATTCAAGATCAGCTAAATTCCCACTGTGCTAAAGCAGAAAAGGCAAATCTATAATATAAAAAAGTCTCTACCGAAACAGCAAGTTGCTTAAAACGTATTTACTCTATGGATTAACAAAAACCGATTATTTTGCCTATTATGCCTTAAAGTAAAAGTGCAATTTTTACTAGCCAACTTGTTTTGTTTAACCTTAGGTTTCCTACATAAAGTAAAAAATTTAAAAATAAAAGCTTCTGTGTACTCTGGCACAAGATTGTGGACAAGATGGTATTTAGGTGAATGTAAGGCGGAGTCGATTGTTGACGCTTCATTAGAAGTAATAATAAAAGAAAGATATGTCTCTTATTTTGTATTTTGGACAGATAACTGTACATCCTAGAATAAAAAAATTTGATTCTATACACTTTCTTAACAACTGAAGTCAATCGTTGTGCTGAAGCACATAAAATCAAAGGAAACGATGACCACATACAAAGAAAAGTAGTTGTGGCAAAATAAAAAAAAGAAAACCAACTAAGACACTATGGGATCTTTTAAAATGTTTTCTGTTACAAAATCTGGTAGACTTCTTTTTACAAAAGAGAGTATTTGTATAAAATATTAAACAGATTTTGCGGACGATTAGAAGCAATTAGATTTTCTACATAAAAAAATCACTGTCCAAGCATGTTTACACCCAAAACTTTAAATATTAGTGGATTCTCAAGCGACAAAAAGGGATTAATTTTGAAAAACCTTAAGTACTGTTAATGTCGAAAACCAAAAGTTTCCTTGGCAAAGCCAAAAGATAAGAAGACGTTGTAAAATAAGTTTTGTGTCAGTAGGTCCATTATATTTATACCAAATTTATTTTCATGTCATCAAAAAAAATTATAGCGTATCAAAAAAATTATTTAATCCACTATAAATGCTCTGAATTCGCTAGTCGAAAGAATTGAAAAGACCATAGTGGCAAAAGAAATAGCTCTTTGCGCTTTCATTGACATAGAGGGAGCATTCGATAATACCTCATTTGAATCCATAAAAAGAGCACTAGTAAAGAGAAGCATTGAAGTCTCACTAATACAATGGATTCAGTCAATACTAAAAACTAGAATCATCACTGCTAGTATTAGAGGAGAATCTGTGACTGTGACAGCGGTAAAGGGGTGCCCTTAAGGGGGAGTATTATCGCCTCTACTGTGGTCTTTGGTAGTGGATGACCTCCTCACTAAGCTGCATGATTCTGTTTTTTTAACCCAAGGTTACGCAGATGACCTCGTTGTTTCAATTAGGGGCAAGCATGACCAGACTATATCTAGTCTCATGCAAATTGCTTTTAACGAAATTAAAAGTTATCCAGAGTTAGTTTAAAAATTAAAAAAATTAAAAGTTAGTTAAAAAAAATTATCCAGAGCTTTGGTGGCAAGTTGGACCTGCCGCAAGACGTTTGGAAAGACTTGGGGCCTACAACCGAAAATGACACTCTGGTCATATAAAACAATAATTAGGCCCATGGTCACATACGCATCATTCGTATGGTGGCCAAAAACACAACAAACAACAGCTAACGCCAAGCTGCAGAAAGTGCAGCGGCTAGCTTGTCTGGGAATCACAGGGGCAATGTCAACATGCCCCACTGCAGCTCTAGAGGCAATGCTGAACCTTCCTCCCTTATAGTTCTGCATAAGGAGGGAGGCAGTAACTACCGCCTTAAAACTGCGACAGACACAAATAATGAAACCTGGAGATCTAGTTGGCCACCTGAAAATTTTGGAAGAAATTCCATTGGATTCTAAGGATATGCCGACAGATGCTATGTCAGTCAAATTCGACTTTGAAACACCCTTTGAAGTAGTCATAAAAAACCACCAAATGGGTAAAGAAATCTCTCAAGAAGCTGGCGGAACGCAACAGTGTAATTGTGATGTGGGTGCCAGGTCACAAGGAAATTTCAGGAAATGAGGAAGCTCGCAAGCGAAGGAGCTAATACCTCATTCCGGGTCCGGAACCCTTTTGTGGACTATCGAAAAGCTACATCAAAGAGGAACTCTGTACCTGGGAACTCAATCAACTAAGATCATATTGGTCTAACACACCAGGACAAAGGCAAGCAAAAAAGCTCATAAACGTGTCGCCCACTGCAACAAACCACCTTCTCGAAATGATTAAGAGAGATGTCAAAATGGTCACTGGCCTTCTCACTGGTCACTGCCCGCTGAGATATCAAATCCAGAAGATGGGCAAATCAGATAGTGAGAACTGTCGTTTCTGTCACAATGAGAAAGAAACGGCAGAACATATACTATGCAACTGCGTAGCACTGTTCTGCAAAAGACTAAAATTCCTATGAGAGGCAGTCTGGCGTCCTCTGGCATAGGAAACAAGCCACCTAGGAAGCTAATCAACTTCATCAGAAGCATTGGCATTCTAGACTTTAACTAGATTAAGGTATGCACAAAAGATCTGTATAGGTCGAAGTGCGCTGAGGGCGCATGGCCTTAACGACCTCACATAATCTAATCTAATCTAAAAAAATTATTTAGAGCAAATTATTTAAACATAAAATAAAACATTAGTAGATCCTTCTCATATTACGTAATACGATCATTTGAAGAAATTATTTAAGCTTATTGACCTCTATTTACTCTATTTACCTTTTACACAAACTGCAAAATCTTCTTTTTTTCCAGGGTTGTCGTATATAACTCTTAAGCGGTTAGTTGCAATATCACACTCCCTCTCCACCAATGAAATTGATTCTGGAACTCGTTTACTTAACTGCTTTGGCAACACGCATGATATAAGATACGGTATAAAATAACCTTTTTGTGGCTTTCCGAACCACCAAATAATTCTATGTTCATAGGTTTTTACTATTACGGGGTTGTTTGTATCGTTAAACCAAAACTGACAATATGTCGGTAAATTTATTTTGTATCTATCTATCATTCCTACAATTCTTACCGTAGGACCCAGTGTATTTTCCGATCTAGTATCCAAATATGCATTGTATAAAAGAAATGTGCCATTACTAGTATTCTGACTTTGCCAGTATGAGTTGCGGTATTCAATGTTTAGAGGTAGTATAAACCTGTAAAAACCAAAATATATTATTGAGATATGCAGATATAGCTGTATAATTAATTCTATATAAAATTCATTAACTTATTTCATAAACTAGTGGTACAAATATTTTATGTCTAAAAAACTTATACAGAAGTAAAACAATTTGTATCTAGGTATAAAAAATTTAATTTCAAACTTTTTTAACCCTTTCAATACCTCTTTTTTTTCAGCGAACGAAAAAATATTTTTTGGTTAAAATGTATTAAAACAGTTCATATAACACTTTTTGGACATTAATAAAAATATAGCATGTATACATAAAAAAATTTATTATGGGTTCATTTGTACCCAAAAGTACTTAACAAATCTAAAAAACTAGCGCATATGAAACATAAAAAAGCAATTTCTTTCCTTTTGAAGGCACAAATGGACATTGCACTTCTGACATTTCCATCTTGATTTTCCTATACAACCAGGGTTTTTACATCTTAAAGGTAAAGGTAGCTGAGGGTGCTCTGGAAAATGTCCAATGTTATCTAATCGCACCTCAGTAAGAGGTCTAATTTCAATGTTTTGGCGTTTTTCAGCTACTACTGGACTAGATGTACCGCTTGAAGGTCTTCCCCGTTTTCGGTTATTGAAAGAGTTGACTTTTATGAGGGCTTCACCAACTTTCATCCTAAAGTGTAGAAGGTCCATGATATCTTTTTTTGGAATTCCTAAAGTATGCATATCTTTTTTATATTCTAACCATGAATTTGTTAGGGCCATGTCAACTGCATGGAAGATTAGTCGAACAGTCCACTTTCTGCAACGGTTTTTTACTCTGTAAAACGCAATAAGAGCATCTGTTTTATCTATGCCACCCATGGACTTATTATACTTTTGTATAACTTCGGGTCAACTTACGTCAATGAAACATTTTGTTTGGTCATTCCAACGTTTTACAACATCTTCTGTACCAACCCCAACGAAGTTGGATATCATTATCACTGACTTGTTATCTAACCATCTGGTTACTACAATTCCATCAGAAGAGATAATTTGTTCCGTTGATCCTCTCTGGTTTTTTGAAAAATCTTTTACATCAATTAAAGGTGGTTTAGAAAATCTATTGATCCTCGCAGTACCAGCAACAAGTATTGATTTTTGGTTGAGAATTTGTAAAAGATTATAGCTCGTAAAATAATTGTCACAGTACAATGCATGCTTATTAGGTTCAAGTCCTTTTGTTAATTGCAATACGATAGCTGCACCTTGTCCATATTTCAAATTGGAAGGTTCTTATTCTGTGGTGCTACCTTGATAGATTAGAAAATTGTAAATTGGTCCACTTTCACCACCTAATAAATACAGTTTCACTCCCCATGGATTAGGCTTATTTTTGATGTATTGTTTTATAGACAATCTCCCTTTGAAAGGCATGATTTGTTCGTCTATGCAAATATTTGTTTCTATATGCAGTTCTCTACATCTCTTTAGGACTGATTCAAAAACTGGTCGAACTTTCCACAGTTTGTCGTCGCTCTGTCTGGTTTCCAGATTGTCAACACAATGTATGTGCGTGCGAAGTTTGAAATAACGATTCAATGTCATTGTGTCCGAAAAAATATCAATTTTTAAAGATCTGTCCGAATACATTTGCAGTCTTGGAAATTTTAGACAGCCTGTTAGAATACTAAGGCCAAAAAATAATTTTATTTCTTGTAGATTACACGGTACAAATTTCTCATTTCCAGTTTGCAAAGCATACATATTCGCATATTGAACGAAATTTTCGAATATACTTTCGGGAAAATATCTCATAAAATATGTAACTGGATATTCCTCAGAACAGTTTTCATTAGAAATCTGTGTTATTTTATTAGGTAATTGTCGTGTTAGATATTGAACATTCTGTAACCAATTTACATTTTTTTTCAGAGTAATGAAGTTATCATAGTTACCATCGTTTTCGCCCTATTCATCATCATCCTTCTTTTCTACCTCATTATCCTCTTCCTCGTCCTCCAATTCGTTTTGATTTTCTGAGACATCATCTATCATATGTCCAACTCTCTGTCTTACTTGTATTTTTTCTTCGCAGTCACTGTCGTCATCACTAACAAATCCTTCTATGTCGGACAGTTTTTCCAGCTCTTCCAGGAGTTTCTTCTCAGTTAAATACTTTTTTGGAGGCACTTTACTCTGAAACAAAAAATAACACTGAGTCATTTTGGCTACAATTGTGCCCATCGAATTTGAAGCACACTTCTATATTTGAAAAAATCTAATTTCAATAAAATTTATTCACAATTAGTAAGAAGTAACACTACTTTCAACATTGCACTGAAATATAAATGTCGATTGACTTTATTCAAACTAATATTTGAAGAAACAAGTACACTTACCTCTTATGAACAATGCAATTGCCGACATATTGCTTTTGACATTAATTTTCTTATAGCACAAAACCATCCATGCGCCATATAGGTACAAAATGCAGAAGTATAGTACTTATAGAATATAGATTTAGATAAACTTGCCTAAGTTGCAGATTCCTGTAGAATTATATATGCATTCAAATTAATGGGTACAATTATACCCAGCATGACTGAAAGGGTTAAAAGTGTCGTCCAAAATTTACAGGTGCATAACGTGATGTTTTCGATCTAGTTCAGATCATCCTTAGTGCCTTCTTTTGTAATTGAAGCTAATGTAAAATAGTAGCGGTGACATCAATATATTATGGTTTTACATGTTTAAAAAGTTAAATTCTAATGCGACTCTAGGTGAATGACATGGATGGATATGGTAGATTAATTATGTCAGAATTATAACGTCGCAAGAAAGACACGCGACTTTGTGATAAATTGTAAGAATATTAATTGGGGTTAAACGTTTTTTAGCGTGTAGTCAAATTAGAATATTCACATCGTTGCTAAAAGTATCCTCAAGTGTACTTATTAGCTACCGATAAAACTACGCCTTTAGAAATTAATTTATATCGTGGACCGAGGCGTTGGGCATAAGGGGATTCGAATTATATTTATCCACCGATTCTATCCAGCTAGTAGTAAATAAAATTGTGAAAATATAGAAAATGGTTTAATTGCTTACAAAAAAAAATATTTTTATAAAATATGGGTGAAAACTATGTAAATTTCAAATAAGGTAGCTACTTACTTAGCACAAGTTTGATTATATCCCCTTTTTGAGTCTGATTTCCAATCTTTTTTAATTTTTGGTAAACTGGGTAAAATTTTCTCGATTGCCAATTTCAATTGTTCCTCAGACAAAGCGTTTTCCTCCGAATAGGTTTCGATATCTGTCTCGAGAACTGTGGGTAATGCCTGAATTTGTGGTTCTGCATTATGCTTCAGCATTCTTAAAAATCAACATTCTTATTTAATTCCTAAATTCTTCTTAGTACTGTATTTACTGCATATAATACAAGGTATTAAGATGAATTGAAGTACAAGTATAATCAATTATAAACATTTTATTTTAACCTTCAAGTACCAGTCTGATCCAATTAATTTACAATACCCGTAAATCAAAATGTAATTCGGTACCAGGTTCAGCAAATTATATAAAAGTTATAAGTTGTTATAATGAAAAAAGCATTCGATCAGTGTATACTACCAATCCTGACATACGGCTACGAAACTTGGAGACTAAGGAAAAAGATAATATCAGAGTTAAAGACACCCAAAGGTCAATGAAGCGATTCAGGCTTGGTATAACAAAGACAGAACGAAAAAAAAAAGAATTAAATTGATCAAACAGAAAACCAAAGTTACTGATGTAATCCACAAAGTTAAATCTTTAAAATGGCATTGGGCAAGGTATGTGGTGTGGTATCCGAGTGATTGCCGGTATAAGCAATCCCCCACTTACCTACCAACGACTTCGGGCGGATGAGTTGGTAAGTGATAGGGCAATCCTTTGGCTACAGCTTTGAAAGTAAAGATTACTGATCGGAGTACAGGTAGGAGAGTAAAGATTACTGACTTTATATCGGAGTGCAAGATCCGGCAGGGGAGCAATAACAACACAGAACCTCGGGGCCTCCCAGGTCGTTAGCAAGCGAAACCCCCAAGTTAAAGGAAAGGATGCGCCTAGAAAAATTAAACAGTTTATTAAAATATGCACCTGGAACGTCAAGACCATGTACGAAGCAGGCAAAATTTATAATGCCATCCATGAAATGGAAAGACTGAATATCGATATAATGGGCATCAGTGAAATGCGATGGCCTGATGCCGGAAAATGTCAAATAAACGAGCACCAAGTATATTACTCTGGAAATACAGAAGGTCAACATAAGCATGGCGTCGGAATAATTTTAAATAAACAAATAAACAAATACGTTACGAATTTTGTTCCAATATCCGAGAGAATCATGCTCATTCAATTGGATTTATTCCCAGCAAAAACCAACATAATCCAAATATACGCACCCACAGCAGACAAATCAGACGAAGTAATAGAGGCTTTTTATTACGATTTAAGGAAAGTCCTAAGTAAGTTAAAAACCAATGAAGTAACGATAGTTATGGGTGACTTTAATGCCAAAATCGGTAAGGGTAGTTATGGTGAAGTAGTAGGTTCATGGGGTCTGGGTGAGCGAAATGAGAGAGGAGAACGCCTACTCACATTTGCTACGGAAGAAGAGCTGGTAATCACCAATACACTTTTCAAATTACCATACAGAAGGTTGTACACATGGCGCTCACCCGGTGACACGCCAGAAAATCTCATAAGAAACCAGATTGATATATTTAATAAATAAAAGATTCAAAAACTCAATAACATCAGTGAAAACCTACCCTGGTGCAGATATTAAGTCAGACCATAACCCACTTGTCGCTAAGTTTCGCCTGAAATTTAAAAAAATCCACAAACCTAATCCTATAAGATACGATCTCAAACAACTAAGAGATGATGACATAAAGCAAGAAGTACGGGAATATCTGAAGAACAACATATCTAAGTCAGAAGTAGTTAATGATGTTGACACAGAAATAAACCACTTAGAAAACATTGGGAAGGAAATATTAGACCAATACCTGCGACCGAAAAAGACAGAAAAGAAAAAACCATGGATGACCGACGGTATATTACAGATGATGGACAGAAGAAGAGAATCCAAGCGGAAAGACTACGTTGCATATCAATTTCTAGACAAAGAGATAAAAAAAGCTGTCAGAGAAGCTAAAAATAGAAATCTGGAAGAACAGTGTGAAGAAATCGAGATATTGGAACGTAAACACGATTCCTTCAACCTCCACAAAAAGATCAAAGAAGCAGCAGGCATCTATAAATCAAAAAGGTCGGGACACTTAACAGACGCTCAAGGAAATCCAATAGTTGATATTGAAGAAACAAAAACAACGTGGATGAACTATGTGACAACATTTGAAGACGATAGGAATGTCACCATCACACAAAATAAAAATGACGATACCGGACACCTATTCTCGAAGCGGAAGTAGAAGCTGCTATAAACAACATTAAGGAGGGAAAAGCCGCAGGACCAGACGAGTTCTACTCAGAATTTTTCAAGGACATAGACGAGAGAATACTTATAAACGGAGAACGATTGAACCACCTGGTCAATTACTAGTTAACCAACAACCTATAACACAAATCACCAACTTTTGTTATCTGGTGCAAACTTAAATTAACACTGGGATCGAGAAGGCAAGATCAGCTTTCGTCAAAATGAAAAAAATCTTTAATAGCCACGACATAAAATTGGAAATAAAAGTTCGTTTACTAAATGCTACGTATTTTCCGTTCTTTTATATGGCGTGGAGTCATGGACCTTAACTGAAGCATCACTGAAGAGACTCGAAGCATTTGAGATGTGGTGCTATAGACGCATGTTGAGGATTTCCTGGATAGACAGAGTTACCAACGAAGAAGTACTACATAGAATGGGTAAAGAGCGCGAACTAGTCGTAACCATAAAACGTCGCAAACTAGAATACCTGGGCCATATAATGCGCAATGAACAACGATATGACCTACTTCGGACCATACTTCAAGGTAGAGTGCATGGGAAAGAGGTCCAGGACGGAAAAGAATATCCTGGCTGAATAACGTGGTATAACTTAACCACTACCGGACTTTTCAGTTCAGGGCAGCAATCAACAAAGTCAGACTAGCCATGTTAGTGTCCAACATCCGTAACGGATAGGCACCATAAGAAGAAGATCCAAGAGGCGTCAATAAGCCAAGAAGACGTCCAAATTTAAGATGGGTCTATGACATAAGCAACAAGCTGGTACAACATGGCACAGAAAAGCGAATGTTCGACATTAACCCGTTTAGACCCATAGTTGCGTTAACGCAACACATTAAATGCTTTTCTTTACATTCATACCGAAGTTTTTTTATAAATTGCGGATAGTATTATGTTAAGAAAGATTTAACAATTCAGAACAAATTTTTCCACGCAAAAAAATATAATTCGAAATGGCGTTAAAAATAGCTAAATAACTAGAAATTATTACAAGCGTGGTACATTCTCAAAACATGCTTTAAAATATTTAAGTATTATTATTTTATCATTTACAAGACATTTTCATAGCTTAGGGACATAAAGTTTTAATATACTAAACGTAAATTTGATTTGTTTTTAGAAAATAGTGTCGTTTCAGGACTTTGAATATAGCTCTGCGTTAATGTAACTATAGGATACATAATAATAATACAATAGGACAATAAGTATAATACATAGAAGTGACTAATTTTTTGTTGAAATAACAAATATAAATAAAGGAAGATGAGTTAGAAGAGATAAGTGTAAGTCAGTCTCATGTGTAATCCTCAAAAGCCAAAAAATACTTCGAGTCGAAAACACTAATCTGGTGCAGAAAACCCATTGAGTATGGAAATGATGCTGATTCGAATGAAGAAACTCGCATAAAAAATATCGTTGAGGAGTTACATGAAAAGTCGATACTGGACTATTTTATGGAAATGTTCAATGAAGATATTATGCAATGTATTATTTCAAATTCAAAAAAATATTTGAGAGGTCAGAACCGTCCTAACTTTGACTTGGATCGAAATAATTTAGAAATATGTTTGGGATTGTTAATATTGAGCGGATATCACACTCTTCCCAGTATAAAGTTTTACTGGTCTTCCGATGAGGATAAGGGAGTTTAGTTAGAGAAGATGCAATGTCTCGAAATAGATGTCTTAAAATAAAGCGGAACATACATCTTGCAGATAACGATCAGCTAGATAAACAAGATAAATTTGCAAAAGTTCGTCCGATGATGGACCTGTTAAATAAAAGTTTTTTAAAATATGGTGTTTTCAGTCAATACTTATCAATAGATAAGCAAATGGTCCCATACTTCGGCCGTCATTCAGCAAAAATGTTTATAAAAGGAAGCCTGTTCGTTTCGGATACAAAATGTGGTGCCTTGCATCTAGCAATGGATATTTATAAAACTTTGTTCCTTATGCTGAAAATCCAACCAGAATAATTCAAAAGAGCTCAGTATGAGTGAAGCAGTTGTTATTAATCTTTTAAAAGTCGTGGAAGATAAGTCTGCATACAAGATATATTTTAATAATTTATTTACCAGCTACAAGTTGTTAGTTCATTTGAAACAACAAGGATACTTTGCCACTGGAACAATACGTGAAAACAGACTGTTAAATTGTCCGTTGGAGAACACAAAATCCATTGGAAAAAAAGATCGCGGCCTATGGATTGTCGCTACGATCAAACTAATAAAATAAGTTTTGTGCGTTGGAACGATAATTCTGTGGTGACGGTGGCAACCAATTGTGATCCAGTAGAGCCTGTTCTTCCCGTAAAACGATACAATCGCAAGGTAAGAAAAGATATCGCTATCCCACAATCCAACATGATAACTAAATATAATAAACACATGGTGAGAGTGGACTTACATGACAATGGAGTGGCTAATTATAGAATTAATATCCGTGAGAAAAAATGGTGGTGGCCGTTATTTATTAACATGTTAGACCCTGTTATCGTTTTTTTTTATAGCCCTTTTTCTATCCGAATTGTCGAATAAAGGCCTCTCCCATTTCTCGCCATTCATCCCTGTTGTGTGCTAGGCGTTTCCACATTGGTCCTGCGACTCTTTTGATATCGTCGCTCCAGCGCATTTGAGGTCTTCCTCTTGGTCTCTTCGCATCGTACGGTCGCCAGTTTCCGACTTCTTTGTTCCATCTACCATCTTCGAGACGTTCGTTGTGTCCAGCCCATTTCCATTTTAATTTAGCTGCTTGTTTCGCGGCGTCCTTTATTTTTGTTTTGTTCCGGATTGCTTCGTTCGTTTGCCGATCTATTAGTGAGATACCAAGCATCTGTCGTTCCATGGCTCGCTGAGTTTTTCGAATCTTGTCCATGTTCTTTTTTGTGAATGTCCAGGTTTGAGCTCCGTAAGTGAGAACGGGAAGGATACAAGAATCGAACACTTTGGTTCGAAGGTTTTGGGGTATCTTTTTGTCTTTCAGTATGTATGAGAGTTTTCCAAATGCGGCCCATCCCATTCTTACTCGTCTGCTTATTTCGGTAGTTTGGTTTTCTTTGTTTACCTTGATATTCTGACCCAGATATATGTATTCTTCTACATGTTCCACTTTTGTTCCTTGGATGGTTATCGTCGGTTGATCATCTTTATTCGACATTAGCTTAGTTTTACTCAGATTCATTTTCAGTCCTTTTTTTATGCATTCCGTATGAAGCTCATCGATCATCGTCTTCAGTTTTTTCCAGCTGTCGGCTATTAGTACTACGTCATCTGCATATCTTAGATGGTTTAAATACTTTCCGTTTATCGATAGTCCCTTCGTTTCCCAATTTAGTAATTTAAAGATGTCTTCAAGTGCGGCAGTAAATAGTTTTGGAGATATGGTGTCTCCCTGTCTTACTCCTCGGTTGATTTTTATTGGCCTCGTTTTCATTCCGTTATTGCTTGTAAACTCTACTGAATTGTACATAAGGAAAATCCAATTTCGCATTTAGATTTTAGGTCAAAACTCTGTGTCAAGCCTTGTTAGTGTTAACAAGAGCAGCACAAAATCTGTTAGAGGTCGTGGTTCTAGTTTCATCGTTACCATCTAGCTCTCGTTTATATATACTATATACCTGTCATATCAGTTGATTAAAGACTGTAACCTGTTTATCTATAAGTTAATTAAGACGATAATATGGGTTCTCTTAGTATTTAATAAAGCCTTTTTTATGTTTACTGCATATGATTTTACTTTATTGATGATACAACTTATTTTACGCATGTAGGTAAATATGTCAACCTTAGTACTTCTGCTTGTTATTCCTTAGTATGTTTTTTGATGATTTTGATATTTCTTTATAGTTCTCAGGTTTAGGTTATTGGCACCTTTTCTATTTTGCAGTTAAGGTATTCAGTATTTCTTTTCTCCTTTTGTCAAACGGTAACATTTTTTCAATTTGACGATTATCTATCTTTGGATTATCTGTTAATTAACTGTCTGTTACTTTTATACTAGTAGTATTCTTACCTACATCAACGAAGTTGCCGATTCTGAGCAACGATACCTTTTAATGCTCTTGTGAATGTTAGCTTTTACCATTTGATCTTCTTGTTTTTCGCCACCTGAGCTGATGTTGTTACCTTATTATAAACGTTATTTAACATACAATATTTACCATAAAATACTTACTTAGTTTTTAAAAATATACCATGTGAATGTAAGATGTGGAGAATAAAGTAGAATATAATAATTGTCATTATGCAAACCAAAAACGATTTAGCCACATAGGCCATATAACGTCGGTTCCGGCAAAAATAGAGAAAGGTCATTGTTGGACATCTGAAAAAAAATATATATATTATTAATAGATTCTAAAAATACAATTTTATGTGTTTCGTCTACCTTGTAAATTCAAAAGTGTTCTTAGTTTTTCGCGCTTTGAGTAGTATGTCATACATAGCTAATTGATTATAAATGGTGCCCCCTATATTTTTACATTAACATATTGGAGAAAAGTGTACCCCAACCACCCTTTTGATAGACCCTTTGGTTGGGTGTACATAACCTACAAATACATCTTTTTTTTTCAAACAACAATACAATTTTTTTTTCGAGGTGGCTGTAGGTCCATTTTTTTTTATTTTGTGTATTTGGGCATCTTCAAAAAATCCAAAAATCTTGTTTTTTTTAGGGGATTTGGTGCATTTTGAAGTCTATAAAATGGAGAAAATGGCGCACTCTACGAAAACATCTGAAAAAATCAGAGATATTTTGCCATCTTCAAAAAAGTTATAAGCTCTTTAAAAAAAATGAATTTTTAAGTATTTACACCCAACCTACGGATCTCTAAAAATAAGGAAAGTTTTGTAAAAGCCCTAAATATGCGTGTGAATTTTTTGGAATTTTTAAATTTATTGCAACCTACCATAAGCTGCCCATGTCAACCCTATTCTACGTATTAGTTCATTGGTCTGGTTAATCTTACTTAAGCGAATTTCGTGTCCCAGATATTTGTATGCTGATGTTTGTTCTATACTTGTTCCAGCTATGTTGATGTTCTCACTCAGCACAAGGTTTGTCATCACTTGTGTTTTTGAGTTATTGATCTTTAAACCCGCTTGTGTAGAGGCGTGGTAGAGTCTTTCGCACATTTCGATGGCATGACCTATGCGGTCTGTTATCAGGACTATATCGTCCGCGATCCTGAGGTGACTAAGCTGCTCTCCATTTATGTTTATGCCCTTTTCGTCTAGGTTTGCACGCTTACACATGTATTCCAATAATGTTGTAAACAGTTTTGGTGAAATGGTGTCGCCCTGGCGAACTCAACGATGAATGTTGAACTTGTGTGTATCTTCATAGAGTCTGACGCATGCCGTGGCATTATCATAGATATTTTTGATGACAGTGGTGTAGCGGTGATCTATTCGTCACTCTTTTAAAGCTTCTAGCATTTTCTGGTGGTTTACTGTGTCGAATGCTTTCTCATAATCCACAAATATTAGGACGAGGGGTTTATTGTACTCTATACATTTTTCGATGAGGCTTTTAATAACTTGTAGATGGTCGTTTGTGCCGAAGCCTGACCTGAATCCTGCCTGTTCGCATGATTGGTAAAAGTCCATTTTGTTCGAAAGTCTGTTTGTTATGACTTTTGTAAAAAGCTTGTATATGTGTGAGATGAGGCTGATTGGTCTATAGTTTACGAGATTTGTTAAATCTCCTTTCTTAAACATTAGAATGATCACTGCATTTTGCCATTGTGATGGTGTTGTTCCTCTTTTAAGGCATTCTGTGAAAAGTATGGAAAGCCTTTGTATCAGTTTTCTCGCCTCCTAATTTTATGGCTTCGGCAACGACCCCGTCGTCGCCAGGTGACTTATTATTTTTCATTTGTAGGAGAGCTTTTTTGATTTCATCAACAGTAACTGTGTTACAGTTGACAAAAATAACTGTTATAAGAGACTCATTTTATTAAAAAAATTAAAGATAATAAATTACCAAAAAATGATATATCATACAAAAGAAATGGGACTAAATAAAAAATTTAGATATTTCGGCTTGATGACTTTCAAAAAGCTCTAGAAAAAATCACTCAAATCAACATATTGTCTTTACAAAGAACAAATATTTAAACAAATAGACGCATGTGGGTTGAAACAAGACTTTTTAGTGTAATCGCTTAACTAAATATGGAAGACCTAGAAAAATCTGCGATTTCTTTACTAAAATTTAATATAGTAGATGACTATATATTGTCTATGCAAATCAAAATCAAATCAAATGCCATCAAAAACTACAATTTATTTTAAATTGGAAAACAATCTTAAAATTAATTTTTCTTTTTTGAAACAATCCGCACTTAATGGTACACTTTATTAGAATCCTAATATTCTGTTCCATTTGTTCAGACTGTTTTGAAAAAGGCCGTGGTGTATTTAAAAAACAACTCAAATGATTAAATTGTGGTACATATTGGAAAAATCTTCTGTATATTTTCAAAATTAAAAAATGCCTTTTTTCCATAAAAGGTTTGGCTAAGGCTGTTGTGCTTGATTTGTTGTTTTGTGTAGAAAGTGTGTTTGTAAAAGTTCTAAAACTACTATGTTTGTGTGCAACGACCCTCCTATACAGATATTGATGTGTTTGCCCAATATTTGTTAAATTGCAGTCTTAACAATTTATTTTATAAATAACATCTGACAAAATCCGATAATTTTTATTAAAATTGGGTTTAAATTTTAACAAATATTTTCCGAATGTTTTTGACGACTTATGTTCAAAATTAATATCATATTTTGCCAACATTTTCAAAATTATTTTGTTCAGATAGTCCAATAATGTATGGCGGGGATATATAATTATCCTCTAGAATTTTGCAACCATTTAATAAAACAAAACAAGTCAAAATAAACCCAAACCATACCTAGCAATAATAATGGCAATGTCACTTGATCGAACAAACTTTATAATTCCCTACAATACAATAATGTATTATCTCAACAAATGTCGAAAATGTTGACAAAATATGTTATTAATTTTGGACATAAATTTTTAAAACATTCGAAAGATATTAATAGTATATAAATATAAGATTAAAATCACAGTATTTCTGTAACCCATTTTACAATATTTAGCATACAATTTTTAATCGTCATATTTATGATTTAGTAAATAGCCTTTTTATTTAACCTGGTATATTCAGTATTTACGTAGACCCAATAGTTTAGGTATTTTTCAAAAAATCATCTTTTGAAGTTATTTTTACAATAATTAAATACCAAACTAACAAAATAACTTTGCAAAACTCCATTTCTACCCTTTCACTGCGGAAAGCGCGATATCGCATCCTCAGAGTGTTGTAAATGTGACTTCAAATATAAACTATATCTTCCGTAGTCTTTGGAATGGCAAAAGTGAGCGGAAAGGATTGTGCACGATGAGATTTTAGAGGGTACAAATGAGATCCAGGCTGAAAATTCGTGAAACGAAATAAGTGGTATGAAAAATATTCCTTTAATGGGAACAAATGAACTATTAGTTCAATCTCCTGGTGACGAACCATATGACTAGTTTAGGATGCTAATCGATGATGCATTCTTAGAAACTGTAGTGAGTGAATGTAATAACTATGCCATTCAAGTACTGGCTACTAGTAAAGAATCTGTACGATCGAGAATCACCGAATGGAAAGAACTGACAGTAAAAGAGTTCTTGTGTTCTTAGGATTAACTTTATTTACTGGTACTGTTAAACTTCCTCAGTTACAAGATTACTGGAAAAAACAGACTATTAACAACTTATTTTTCAAACTACATGAGCAGAGAAAGGTATTTATTAATTATGCGTTGTCTTTATCTTTGTACAATTGGATGGAACGTGATCAAATCCCCGAAGATAGTCTTTTTAAAATTAAACCTGTAATAGAACATTTCAACAATGTGATGAAGACAGTTTACTATCCTAATAGACAACTTTCGTCAGATAAGTCGATGGTCTTGTGGAAAAAAAGACTTATCTTCAAACAATATCTTCTAAATAAGCGCCACAAATATGGAATCAAACTCTACATGTTGACGGAACCCAGTGGACTTAGTTTAAAATTTATTGTTTGCGGTGGCGAACGTGACTTGTTAGGAGGTAAAGACCATACAAAAAAAGTAGTAATGCATTTACTGAGCGATTACTTAGACAAAGGCACCTCAGTTTTCATGGATAACTATTATAATAGTTTCCAGTTGGCAAAAATGTTACTGGATAGAAAGACTTATTTCACGGGAACGCTACATAAAGATAGAAAGGATTCTCCAAACGAAGTTATTCGCGCGAAATTAAAGAAAGGTGTAAGCCAGTCTATGTATCTCAACATATAGATTGGTAAGTGGCGTGACAAGATTGATGCAATTTACATATCTTCAGAATTGGAAAATCGTATGATAATAGTGACGACTCGAAGAGGTGTTGAAAAGGAAAAACCACAACCTATCGTCGAATATAATAAGTATATGGGTGGTGTAGATCTTCAGGGTCAACAAATGGCGTACTATCAAGTAATTCGAAAGATTTTACGGTGGTATAAGAAATTAGGAATCTATATTTTCTAAATGATGATGATTAATTTGTAACGACTATTTTGCTTACCTCAGGGTAAGAACATGGGGTAGAAGATTGGGCAAACAAAATAAATCGAAACTAGTGCGTACGGCACTCAGTTGGTTGTTGGAGAGCTGGGTCGTGGATAAGTTGAAGATATGGGGGTTGGATTGGGGCAACTACAAAAAAAAGAAATAAAGGGGTACTTATACAAATCTCTTGGGACAAACAAAATGAAAATAAACAGGAAACACCTCAAGGAATTTAATATAGGGCGCCACTTGAGGTGCCTAATTATACCTATTACAACCACTAGTTGTAACTAGGGAAATAATTATAAAACATCAAAAATATATCTTTTTCAAATAAAACTCAAAATAGATCAGAGAAACAAATTAAACGTTTATTTTTGTCTCAAACAAACAGTTATCAAAAATACAGATTTTACAAGAACATATTATACAACATAATACAAAATTACAAAAACTTACATGTTCTTTGTTTACATAAAAGATTGCTACAAAAATTTTGAAATGGTTCCTAGGTTATATATGGCCAATTTAGATTATCAAAATTTTATGGATATCCTTTTTATGAAAATATTATTGAATTTAACCTTATATATGAAATATCTTTTATATATGAAAATCAAATTGAAATTGTTTTACAAAAACAATGGATTACAGCAAATGTCCTATGTCAACATAACATTTTAAATCAGAATAAAATATGACAT